AATCTTAAACTTTCTGTACCTTTTGTGCTGTCCCTGGGTGAAACAATATGAGTTTTCTTTTCTGTTGACTTTATCCAGTCTAAAAATTACTGTAATCCATTAAGTGGGGTTTTTAATGTGTGCATAGGTTTTTTTCCATTTCCAAGAATCCTGATTGACCATAGTCACTCATTTTTTTAAAGTTTTGTTTGTTTTGTTTTTCAGGGCCTCATGCCTGAGAGGCAAGTGCTGTACCACTGAGCTATACCCCCAGTTTCATAGTCACTTGTTTTTGAAGTCAATTTTCTTTTTTATCTTTTTGAAAGCCCTAATTATGATTTATGTTAAAGTCAGTTTAGGATGAGTCTTATTTTTATTTTCACTAAAATAAATGAACCTTCAAAATAAAATTGTTGTTTTCTTAATTTCTCATATATTAGAATTTTGGATTACAGACTCTTAAGTAGGAATTTATTTTCCATTGTGAACTTTCTGGCTAGTAATTTTATTTTATTTTATTTTTGTTTTGTTTTTCTTTTTTTTTTTTTCTTCTGGCTGGTAATTTTATATTGCTGTACTTCTGTGATCTGAACTCCAAATCACTTCTTAAAGTGACAGCTTGTTGCCCCTGTTCTGGGATGTGTAATGATACTGAGTATCACAGGTCAAGACATGAAATCACCAAAGGCTGGACTTGACCTGGCCATGACCTACAGGTTAACTCAGTTCTGTCACTAACTATCTGGAATTAGTGTTGAATCCCACAAGTGAAGGCTCAGTCTCACAATACCGTGCACTTCAGATGGCCCCTGCAGGTGAATGTCATAGACACTAACTTTCTAAAGCAGAAAGGTTATTTGGGAGGAGCAGGAAATTTGCAATCTAGGATACACATGTTTTGGCAGACCTCAAGAGCATCCAAGGGGATTGGGACGAAGGAGAAGAGTTAAAGACAAGGAGGAGAAATCCATACAAACATTGTGAAACAAACACTGTTGATTCCAGGGGTTCCTTGTAGGAGCCGGGGCCAGCTCATTGAGAGAGACAGACATTGTTAGGCAAGTATCCTTGTGCAGGAGGCTTTTCTGGGATGCTGCAGCACTGAGGAGTTCCTTGGACAGTTTTCATCATAGGCATAAGTGTGTGAGGGCACCTTCTTTATGGCCTCATGGCCCCTTTTTGTTGGGATTTGATATGAGTGCCACCATTTTGGTATTCAACTTTTATACCTGCCTCTCTTTTAATTTGAAGATCAAAGAGATCTCTTCCATATTAATCTTTTCCCTCCTGTCTTCTTCTGGCAATAGCCTTGGCTCATTTTTTTCTCCACTGCCAAACTTACTCTCTTCTTACAACTTGTTTCTTCCTGAACCCGCTCCTGTGCCTGTCAAATATCACAGTAGCTGTTATATATTGATGCTGGGATTCCAACGTGGGTATGACTGCAAAGTCTATGCAAGTCCAGAAGACTATCATTACCCACCAGGGAAACTTAAAGGAGAAATGCCATTGAAGCTAGATCTTGAGGGCATGACAGGATTCATTAGGCAGAAGTAGATAAAAGAAGTCACTTTAATGATGGCTTGGTGATAAATAGCTCATTTGGCATAGTCAGAGATAAAGCTGCAGAGGTGTCTGCCCCATTCTGCACATGCTAGGCTCATTAACTGTCCCTTATTCTACCTAAAAACTTTGTTTTCTTTAATCCTTATGTCAGCTTTGTATTGTTACATACATTGCTAGAGTCTGACTATTTGTGTTCCCCCAAAAGTCTTAAGTTGAAGCCTAATCACAAGTGTGATGGTGTTAGAAGGAGGAACTTTGGGAGCTGATTGGGTCAGGAGGTCAGAACCCTTGTGAATGGGATTAGTGTCCTTATAAAAGACCCCACAGAGCTGCTTTGTCTCTTCCACCATGTTAAGACATAGAAAGTGCCATCTGTGAAGCAGAAATTGGGTGGGTCCTCACCAGACAACCTAATAGCACCCTGATCTTGATCTTCCCAGCCCCCAGACCAGTGAGAAATTTCTATTGTGTGTAAGCTACCTAGTTCATGGCATTTTATTATAGCAGCCCACATGAACTGAGATACCCATTTAAGTCTTAAGAAAACTAAGCCCAAAGTCAGGTTACTTATCTGTGAGCTAGGAGTAGCTCTTAAGTGGCTAAATTGAGTTTAGAAACTCCCTTTTCAATTCTAGCCTCACAGTGCTTTCTACTTTGTATAAGCTACTGAAGACTAAGGGGTTTTCGGTAAGCTGTGAAGTGATTAGAGTTGTATTTAGGAAAGATATGTGATAAAGGATAAGACCAAGTCATTTTTCACCCTAACACCTGAGCACCATTTGAAGGCAGCAACCCTTGATCAGGCTCTAAAATTTGGAATTCAAAATGATTCTATTCTTTATCATAGTTCCCTGGAGGGCAGGGGTCTGCCAGAGTCCAGACAGTCAAAGAGTGGTCCCTACACCTCCAACTTAAGTATAACCTCTGAGCAAGCTTAATAAAGTGTAGGTTCTTGCACCCTACCTTAGTTAGACCTACTAGATCAAACATCTGGGTGGTGGGGAAGGTGAGGTAGATCTGGGAATGTATGTTTCTAACAAGCTTTCCAGGTGATTCTTAGACATGCAAAAGCTTGTCTCTTGAGCGCTCTCTCTCTAGCCCTGCTCTCTCCCTCCCTCTGGCCACTCTGTCTTTTTTCAGCATTTTCTGGTGGTCAGTTGGGTACACTTTAAAATGACTTCCTCAGTAGTAGACAGGAAACACCATCAGCACATAAATGATCAGTACTCTTGTGATGAGGAATTAGATCCCCGGCGTCCAGAGGCCTGATTCACAAGCTGCCTTTACCATTATGAGCTGTGGAATTGACTTTTAACTCATGTAAAGCACAGAGAAAAAGCTGAAAGGGCACACTCCATGCCACCAACAGCGCTTCCTTGGGGAAAGCCATGCTGTTGTGGAGAAAGTAAAGAGAGGGCTCTAGCTTATACCCTTCTGTTTCTGTATTTGACTTTCACACACACACAAGTATTTTGATAGAGAGTGAAATCTGACATGTTTGCAATGGATACATTTTTCTGTTCATGTGGTTCCACTAAAAGTAACAGTATTGTAATATTCATTATCCCAACTTGAGAATTCCTATGTATGAGAATTTGTTTATTGAGTCACATCCATTTTAAGAACCAATCAGCTTTTTTTCTTTCTTGTTTTGGTAGTGAATTATAATTTTGAAATAAAATTCAAATGAACAGCCTTAAAATAAATGTGACAGATGATGTTTTGTAGAAGCTAATTGCCTGTGATGTGTTTAACACTAGAGTTACCTATTTGAATGTTTTATTTGATTACTGACAAGACTTGATTTTGACCATCACAGAACATCATTTGAGTCTTTTTAATTTTTTTGTAACAGTGAATGTGCTTTGGCTTTCTGATTTATTATTTTAATAGTGTGCCCTCAGATCCTGAAATTTTGAAAAATGTAATTTGTAAAAGAATTCTTCACTGCATGATGTACTCACATGCTTATTGATAATAAGCTATTGGAAGGTGGTATGTTAAAAACTTGATTGAATCCCAGACACAGTGGCTCCCCCTGTAATCCCAGCTACTTGGGAGGTAGAGATGGGAGGATCATAGTTTGAAGGGGGGTTAGTGAGACCCCCCAGCTGGACCAGTAAGTGGACAGTTGGACATGGTGGGGTGGGCCTTTCATCCCAGCTATGCAAGAGGCATAAAATAGCGGGATCATGGTCCAAGCCAACCCAGGTAAAAATGAGAGACTACTTGAAAAATAACTAAAGCAAAGAGGGCTGAGAACATGAGTCAAGTGGTAGAGCCCTTGCCTAGAAAATTCAAGCCCCGGAGTTCAAACCCCAATATCATAAAAAAAACAAAACCAAAAATACATCGAACAGCCACCGTGGCATGACCCTGGTACTAATTCATGCCCAAGTTCTTTTGAGTTCCCCGTGCCTGCAATCCAATTCTTCAGTGCCCATCCTTCCTAATGCCACAGTATCTGTGTTCACAGTGTGTCCTGATGCCCTTTGGCTTTTGTGAAGCACCAATCCCACTGTAAACACAAGCACCAATGCAGACCCTAAAAACTGGCCTTTCAGATGTTGTGGGCTCAGCAGTGCTGTCCAGTAGGACTTCTGTGATGATGGAGAGGCTCTTTCTGTCAGTACAGGCGAGACTGAGTTCTAAAGTGCAGCAGAGGCTAAGGAGGAACTGCGTTTTTATGTTGAGTTTAATGAATGTAAATGTGATGACTAGTGGCTACAAATAGGACAGCCCAGATTGAGAATAATGTTGATCAAACCTAATGCACGTGGGAGTTACCTGAGGATCTTGTTGGACAGACTTACTAGTTCAGTAAGTCTGGACTAAGTTGAGACTCTGTCTCCTTTTTTTGTGGGACTTAAACTCAGGGCTTAGTGCTTGCAAAGCAGGTGCTCTACTGCTTGAGCCAAAACTCCAATGGAGCCCGTTTTGCTCTGGTTATTTTGGAGATAGGGTCTTGTGAACTGTTTGCTCAGGCTGGCCTTGAACCATGATTTTCCTGCTTTCAGCCTCCCAAGTAGCTAGGATTAGAGGCATGAGCCACTGGCACCTAGTTAAGATTCTGTATTTCTAATCAGTTCCAAGGGCATGCTGATGTTTTTGGTCTGGGACTATACTTTGAGAGGTATCTAGAATATGAATATATATATAAATGAAATAGAATATATATGCTTTTATTCATTTGTTTTAGATTATTACCTACAAGGAAAATCCAAAGCTAGAAATTATTCCAGAACGCTAGGGCTTTCGGGGGTCCTCACGCCCCAGTTTGGAGCCCTGTCCCAGAGTTACTGCTACAGCACACGTAGCAGAGGTGGCATGCAGCCAGAAAGGTTGACTGAGCTTGATAGTCTTACCCTGGCATATGTATGAAGTGTTTTTCATTGTGCATGTCATAGAAGGCTAATTCAGATTTCCTGCTTTAAAAAACATCCTCTTTCTTGCAGATTTTGTGTGTGAAGCTGTGTGGGAATCCAAAATACTACCAAGCACATCTGTATACTACAGTGGTGCCACCTGATGGTAAGCTCTCTTATGATTTGATTCCTCTGCCAGTTGATTTCCATTCTTCCAAATAAAGTGAGAGCTGTGAGTCTTGAGCAAGACAGACTTGCCCTGCCTGCCCCCACCCCAGCCATCTCCTGGCTAGGTTCAGTGTCTCTCCTTCCTGCTCCTGTAATATTTCCAATGATGCCTTTTGGCAAACCGCTCCTCCAGTAATCAGAGGAGCTAACATGAATAAGACAGCTCCCACCCTCAAAAATTGTACTCTTAGCTGGGGATGGTGGCTTGCGCCTGTAATCCTAGCTGTTCAGGAGATGGAAATCAGGAGCACAGCCCAGGCAAAAAGTTTGCAAGACCCCATCTCAACCAGTGGTTGAGAAAAAGTACCATGCACCTGCCATCCAAACTATACAGGAAGCTCAAATAGAATCGTTGTCTAGGCCAGCCAGGGCCTAAAGTGAGACCCTATCTCAAAAATAACCAAAGCAAAAAGGAATGGGGGCTCAAGCATGAGGCCCTGAGTTCTACCCCCAGTACTGCCAAAAAAAAAAAAATCCCCAAAACAAAAAGTCGTATCTTTACCCTTGAGGACATTAGCAGATGAATATAATACAGTGTGGTACAAGCTATGATAAAATGCTGTGGATTGGCAGGCTGGTATAAACTGTAGCACAATGAAGACACCTACATGAACAAAGGAAATTTTTATAGAATTCTTGTATTTTAATGTTTTCTTAAGGTATATCTTATCCATTCCTATGTTACTGTCTTTTTCTTTCTTAACAGAAATAACAGTTAATTATAAACATGGCCTTCCCTTGATAACACTTACTTTGCCATCCAGAAAAGAGCGCTGTCAGTTTGTAGTCAAGCCCATGCTGTCAACAGTTGGCTCCTTCCTTCAGGACCTACAGAATGAGGACAAAGGTGTCAAAGCTGCAGCCATCTTCACAGCAGGTATACACATGTGTGTTTTACAGCTGTGGCCCCAGGATTCTCCCTGTCTTCTTCTGAACATGTGGTTTGGTTCTTCACCTTTCTAGAAGGAATTTCATCCTTAAATTCATTATACAATAAGTGGTTGGCCTTTGCCATGCTCTTCATTTTTATGTTTCAGAACTAAAAAATAACCTCATTTAGTAAAAAAAATTAATAGAGTATTGTAAATTACATCTTCCATAAACTTAGCCTGAAGTTTTTTCTAACATTTAGTGCGTAATTGTCAGCAAAATTTGAATAATTAGACAATGAAATATAGTTTCAGTAATTAAAATAGCCAATGAGTAATTAAATACACAAATAGTGCATTTATCTTCATTGTAAAGCAATTACAGGCTAGTATGTGTTTTGACAGAATTCATTCTTAGAAAAAAAATGCAATCTTTTTAATACCAACAGTTGTTAATCATTTAGACATTTTAATTTAGGATATGGCTTTATGTTCCCATGTCTGACATGGTCTTAAGCCAATTACTTTTAAAATGGAATGAAGAATTATTTACTTCAGCCCAACATTCAGAGGCTACTGGTATAAATTAATACATTTGTATTACCACTTTATTATAATTTAAAATGCATAGTATAACTTATTTAAAAGTTAATGATTATTCTTACTGGTTTGAAAAAGAAATATTTCCCTTCCCTATCCAAGTTCAGAACCAATTAAGGGATGATACAGAAGTTTGAAAAATGGGCATTAAAGAATTTATTCATTCAACAAGTATTTGTTGAGCACCTAACATGCCAGACCCCGTTCTAGGTGCTAGAAGTATTATAGAACAAACAACAGAAGAGATAAAAACTCCTTCCCTATGGAGCTTACATTTTAGAAGGAGAAAGAAACAAGATAAAGTAATACATTATACATTACGTTAAGGAGAAAGAGCAGGGAGAGTGGAGTGTGTGGAGGTCACTCAGGTCACATCTGAGTGATGACCTGGAAAAGATGAGGGAGCCTTGTTTGGAGGAGAGCTCTAGAGGTAGAGACATGGAGGTCGGAGCAGACTCCTGTGGGGCTCACCAGACGGAGCTGGGTGGGAGGAGGAGAAATTGTGGGAGGTGGCAGGGAGCAGACTGGGAAAGGCTTTAGATTGAACTGGAAAGAGAGCTTTCCTCCTGCCAAAATACGGGATCAGAGAACAAAACTTTTAGCCTCGTGGCCACAATGGGCTTCCAAATACTTGATTCTGAACTCCATGGACCTTCCCTAGCACAGGAGCACTGGGTGTCCGGTGGCCTATCTTCCTGGGCTGGCAGGTGCATAGCTAGAACTCGGGGCTTGGACTGAGCCCTGCCTGCCTGGTGGCCTGGTACGTACTCAGTATTTGTTAAATGAATGAAATAAGAGAGGGAAAATCAATGACTAGTATTTACCCTTTTTTTCTAAAAACATAATTTGAATAGCTTTGAAAACAGGCAATACAATGAAAGAGACTAAAAAGGAGGAGGTTTCTCTTAAAAGATTTAGAGAAAGAGGGCTCTTTGGGCTGTTCATCAGTTGAGGTGAGATGGTTACTGGAAAGGTTAGCATTGCTAGCTACTCCTTGCACCTGAGGGCGAATTAAGGCAAGATGTGAAAATGTAGTGAAAATTATAGCGAAGTTTGTTAGGAGCAAAGCACACCGTCAGTAGACTGAGAATGACTATGCCAGCATTTGAAGCTGGAATATTTATTGATGTTGCCCAAGAGGAAGTCTCAGTCGCAGGTCCATCTGATCCTTAGAATGCAGTTTGTGGGCCAAATTGAAGAGATTACCTGTGTGGAAATTCTCAGCCCTGGGTCCATCCAAAACCGAAGATGTGGTTTCTGGGCCTGGGACTTTGCTTTGCCAAGTCAAAGACAAATCTCTTTGTATGAAATTTCCAGCCCCAGGTCCATCTGATGTCCATGGTGGCCTCCTTTGATCTTAACAGAGACTGCTAAGAGCTGGGAAGTTCAATGACAATGTTTTTCTCTCAGAGACCTTGAAGAATCCTCCATTTTAGGTTCCCTTTGCACATCCCCATTACTCATGGCTAACTGCTAACTAATAAGATCATCCCCCAAGAATTGCCAGTAATTCAGCCCACTTTATTGGATGCTTAAATTGATGCTTGCCCAAAAATACATGAAAAATTTAACAGGATATCATTAGCTCCTTAAAAGTGCTCATGTCAGTCTTTTGCTGTTCATGCATTTACATAGAGGACAATGGAGCACCTCAACTGAGAATTACTTAGTTGATTTCTTTTTATAGTAATATTTTAAGAAGCCGATGTGAAGTCATTTGCATGTAAATTTTTAAATAGCACTTGGAAAGTCAGATAAAATAATTGGCGTGTTGCTGATTTTAAAAAGAGAGAGAGACTGTAGGTGGATTTTGCCCGTGTTTAATTTGGGTTTGAAAAGAGTGTTCCAAGCCTGTCACAGTTTTGCCCACTGTGTGGGTTGGCTTATTTGGCAATTCTTGGGAAGATGATCTCAACCCATCTGATGAACAGGAACCCAAACAACCAGATTCCAGCAACAGACTCAGGTGCAGACTTGATGTGCTGTCCCTGCACAAAAGAACCATGGAGAGCCAGACAGGTGGCAGGCAACCAGGTCCTGCCTAACCACACTGGTGTGCTCATCTGCATGCAGACTACTGCAGCCGAAATAACTTTGGTTGACTGTAGTAGCCAAGCAAACACCTGGCCAGGAGAAAATACACATAAAACACACATTCATATTTTCCTAGAAATTATTTCACATAGTTATATGTGGACTGCTCCAGTTTTCTGCTTTATTGTCCCCTGAGTTTCTTCCTTTTCTCTGGTGGCACTGGGGTTTGAATTTGGAGTCTCCCACTTGCTAGGCAGGCCTTCCACCACTTGAGCCACTCCACCAGCTCAGTTTGCTTTGTTAACATCTGGATTATGTTAAAGTTCTATTCAAAAATAAAAGTAGGCTATATGAGAAACTGTGCAAAGCATGTTGAGGTTAAAAACTTACAGGAGATTTTTTTTTTTTCCTGAAATGTTCTTGTGCTGATCCAAAGCTGCTGAAGTGGAGGAATCTCTGAAATAAGAGGGTTTATTAAGATGTGACAAATACTAGCCAGAAAAAGGATCAGGTTCTGGGACAAGTTGTTTCAATTATCAACAGCAAAGCTAGATAGCGTTTTGGAAAGAAAAAAAAAAAATCTCTGCTGGGCCTAGAGTTAAAAGAGTATTTTATCATGGAGATTGGAGGAGAGCATAAATTGTTTATACTGAACATATGCTGGCTGTAGATGTGAGGAGCAGGATAGCACACCACAGTCCTGGTACTCAGCAATGATGGGATTTAAGTGAAGGTTTCAGTAAACCTTCAGGAACATGAAAGTCTTATTGGTTTCACCTGTGGCTGTTAATTGACATTATCGCTTGCTCACTTGGTCCTCTGGCCCTTGTAATTCAATTTAGGGCAGCTCAGAATTCTCATCACTAGGATATTTTTTTTTCTTTTATTATTCATATGTGCATACAAGGCTTGGGTCATTTCTCCCCCCTGCCCCCACCCCCTCCCTTACCACCCACTCCGCCCCTTCCCTCTCCCCCCCACCCCCTCAATACCCAGCAGAAACTATTTTGCCCTTATTTCTAATTTTGTTGTAGAGAGAGTATAAGCAATAATAGGAAGGAACAAGGGTTTTTGCTGGTTGAGATAAGGATAGCTATACAGGGAGTTGACTCACATTGATTTCCTGTGCGTGTGTGTTACCTTCTAGGTTAATTCTTTTTGATCTCACCTTTTCTCTAGTTCCTGGTCCCCTTTTCCTATTGGCCTCAGTTGCTTTTAAGGTATCTGCTTTAGTTTCTCTGCATTAAGGGCAACAAATGCTAGCTAATTTTTTAGGTGTCTTACCTATCCTCACCCCTCCCTTGTGTGCTCTCGCTTTTATCATGTGCTCAAAGTCCAATCCCATTGTTGTGTTTGCCCTTGATCTAATGTCCACATATGAGGGAGAACATACGATTTTTGGTCTTTTGGGCCAGGCTAACCTCACTCAGAATGATGTTCTCCAATTCCATCCATTTACCAGCAAATGATAACATTTCGTTCTTCTTCATGGCTGCATAAAATTCCATTGTGTATAGATACCACATTTTCTTAATCCATTCGTCAGTGGTGGGGCATCTTGGCTGTTTCCATAACTTGGCTATTGTGAATAGTGCCGCAATAAACATGGGTGTGCAGGTGCCTCTGGAGTAACCTGTGTCACAGTCTTTTGGGTATATCCCCAAGAGTGGTATTGCTGGATCAAATGGTAGATCGATGTCTAGCTTTTTAAGTAGCCTCCAAATGTTTTTCCAGAGTGGTTGTACTAGTCTACATTCCCACCAACAGTGTAAGAGGGTTCCTTTTTCCACGCATCCTCGCCAACACCTGTTGTTGGTGGTGTTGCTGATCATGGCTATTCTAACAGGGGTGAGGTGGAATCTTAGCGTGGTTTTAATTTGCATTTCCTTTATTGGTAGAGATGGTGAGCATTTTTTCATGTGTTTTTTGGCCATTTGAATTTTCTCTTTTGAGAAAGTTTGTTTAGTTCACTTGCCCATTTCTTTATTGGTTCACTAGGATGTTTAAAATTGCTATTAGAATCCCTCCTGCCTCGCCCCGTCTCCCACAAATAACACACACTGCTGAAAATTTACTTACCTTCATTTTCATTCCTGCCACCTCACCTCCTTGAGGTTTTGCCTCTTTTTTCTGCAAGCTAAAAAGGTGGTGGTGGTAGGGGGTGAACCAGGATGGTGGTGGTACTTTATGGTGCTATTTGACTAGTAAGCTTTTAACTAACACAAATCAGTCACTTCCAGTAATTAAAAATAAGAGAAAGACAGGCTTTTAAAAATGTTACTACCTGTGTGCCTACTCATACTAGTCAGAGCTGGATCGTAAGCAGCAGGAAAGAACTCTGACTAAGCAAAAGAGTTACATTGACAGATTGGAAGTGACAGGAATCCAGACTCAAATGAAAGCAGGAGAGGGAGATGACAAGAGCAAACATCAGGTTAGCCCATGATTGCCTTATGGGCTCTGCTGCTAACAGCACCTGTTTCCAAAGGCCATGTCCCAGTGTATCAGAGCACGCCGTAAGGGGCCACCAGAATGAAGAAGGCGCACACAGATCCAAGGTTTCAGAGTGCAGAATTATTGGGGGACTTGTGTACAGAACTGTGGAATTGTGTCTTGCATGGCATCAACATGTGGATCCCTACAGTTTGGGCCAGAAAGGCGGGGGCTTTTCTAATGATCCAGATAAAAGTGACTTCATCCAAGCTGCAGTATACCTGATTTATTTCAATAAGCCTAGTATCAAGGATGCCAGGCACATGCCTGCCGTCAGGGATCAGGCCAAGAAGCTCCACATCCACTCTGATGGTTTTGTCTGTTTTTAGTGTGCTAAAACGGGAAACTGTGCAGGGAAGACAGACTAGGCCTCTTCAGGGGCAATCACAGAGGTCACAGCTCAGGATGGCCGCAGTGAGGTCAATGTGACTCCATGCCCCCTGGACACTGCCTCCTCCACTGGCCTGGCCTTGCTATAAGGAGTCCCCAACTTCCCCAATCTCTGCATAGGCTTTGCAGATTCAGTTTCATTAAGGGCATTGACCTGGGTTCCAGTCCCGCTGACACAGTGAGAGAGGGAGCACCTGCCTGTTCCATCTGGTCCTGTGAAATGAGAGGTAAAGCAACAGGAGAGATCCCCACAGTGAGAATGGTATTTGAGCCTTGGAGAACCGGCCAAATGGCAAATGTCCACCACTGTATTATAAAGATTGGGGTTGGTAATGTTTATGTGTTGGAAAATGGTTCTTACTATTTTTTTAAATTTAAAAAAGAATTTTTTATTATTCGTATGTGCATACAATACTTGGGTCATTTCTCCCCCCTGCCCCCACCCCCTCGATACCCGGCAGAAACTATTTTGCCATTATCTCTAATTTTGTTGAAGAGAGAGTATAAGCAATAATAGGAAGGAACAAGTGTTTTTGCTGGTTGAGATAAGGATAGCTATACAGGGAGTTGACTCACATTAATTTCCTATGCGTGTGTGTTACCTTCTAGGTTAATTCTTTTTGATCTAAACTTTTCTCTAGTTTCTGGTCCTCTTTTCCTATTGGCCTCAGTTGCTTTAAAGTACCTGCTTTAGTTTCTCTGAGTTGAGGGCAACAAATGCTTACTGTTTTAAAACAAAGACTTGTTCTGCAGTATGTCTTTTCTTTCAGATGGCAGTGAGATTCCAGCTTCAACCTTGATGGATGTTTTGCTAATGAAAGATTTTAGACTTGTCATTAACAATGTAGCATATGACATACAATGTCCCACCAAAGGTAAGAAACACAGCTCTACAACTCTCCTAACTGTTGCCCATAGCTGCAGGCTTGCTAAGAACAGGTCTCTGAGGTTTTCCAGAATGGCCATTTTTCCCCTGCTAGAAGCAGGAGGGAGATTTTCTCTTGATTTTTTTTTTTTTTTAAACATGAAGACTTGAAAGAGCTTACAGATGTAACACTCACAAAGGTGAGGGCATGACCCACACTGGACCTCCTGAAGTTTTTCTGTCTTAAGACTTGTTCACATGTGGAGCCTCCAGCAACATGTCCAGTACAATTCAGGTGTTCTTACCTTGGTACCTGCTCCTTGTAGGTTTCTGCTCATGGTCTTTATTCAGATTTGGGGACATCAGTTTGCCCCGTGACCTCCATTCTCTTACCAGTCTAAGAAGAGTTGTTTTTCAGTATGTTAACCTTTTATTTAGTGTTAGGATGAGGCAAGGACTTTCAAACTCCTTACATACCAAATGGGAAACTGGAAGTCTAGCTATTTAAGGAGTACTTTTCATTTCAAACCACAGGCTGAACATCCCTAATCTGAAAATCTGAAATTCAGAATGCTCCAGAATCCAAAACTTTTTGAGTCCTAACATGATGGTCACAGTCAAAACGTCAGCACACTACAAATATTGTATAGGGGCTGGGATATAGTTCAGGGGTTAGGGTACTTGCCTAGCCTGCAGAATGCCTTGAGCTCATTCCCTAGCAATGCAGAAACCAAAACCATGTGTGTGTTTATGTGTGTGTGTCACAAAATTACCCCAGTCTGCATGTATAAGAAACAGAAATAAATTTTGTGTCTATTTTATACCTGGGTCCTATCCTCAAGATATCTTATGTATACGCATATATTCCAAAATCTGAAAAAAAATTCAAAATCTGAAAAAAGAAATCCAATATCCACTTCTGATCCTAAGCATTTTAGGTAAGAGATACCCAACTGGAACCATTTTAATCATTAGCAACATACATTTGGAAAATTCTATTATTATATTTCTTCAAATATTACTTCTGTGCCTTTCTTTCTTCACCATATAATATTTTCATTGTACATGTTGTATCTTCTGTATTTGTCCCACAGTTCTTAACTATTCTGTTAGTTTTTCCATTCCTTTTTGTTTTTAGTTTTTAGCATGGGAAGTTTCTGTTGACACGCCCTCAGACTCACTAATTCTCCGCCCCCCCCACAGTGTCTACTCTACTGATGAGCCTCTCAAAGACATTTTTCACTTCTGTTGTGGTGGGTTTTATGTCTAATAATTCCTTTTGGTTGTTTCTTTGTGTTTTATCTCTCCACTTGCATTACTCACATGTTCCATGCTGTCTACTTTTTCCATTAGAAAAATCAATGTTAAAAGTTGTTTTCATATCTCAGTCTAATAATTCCAAAATCTATGCTGGGACCTTCCTCTCCTCTAAACTCCAACACAGAGTGTAAGCCTTAGGTCCTCACTGGCTAAAGCACAGCCTCCAGCTCCAACCGGCTCATTAGAAGACCCTGAGCTCTGCACGGAGGGGCTTTGTGTTAGGATGGAGCCCAGGTCTAACTGTTCTCAGTGTCAGAAGACGCTTCATTGATCACCGAAGAAGATTTGCCTGGTCAAACAGTGTAGAGAGTGAGAGGACACATCAGGCATGGTCAGATGGAAACTGAGAGAGCAGTTATACTGGATTAATTGAAAATAAATTTATAAAACTATACATTTCATAAATTAATATAAAATTAAAATAATTTTTAACTCTTTTTCTTCCCTAAAACATTGGCAGATTTGGATTTGAAAATTCAGGGTATGAAAACGAAATTCATGTGAAAGGCACATATAAAAAGAATTAAACAGCCATGAAAAAAAAGAATAAATGTCTTATATTTGGCCTTTATTAGGAGAAGCCACAGACAAATGTTGTCAGCTTAGGTTTGTAACATAACGTCAATTCTAGGGTACCCATATTTCTGAAAAAGCATTGCCAAGGATACTTGTCATTGAACTCCAGTAAACATTTTGACCAAACTCCAGACAGGTTCTCTGAGCCCTTTTCTTGACTAGGCCTATTCTTGGCCTATGAAAACTGCAGACTCTCAGCACAGATGATTTCAGGCACATTCCTAACCCTCGTAGAGACTTGAATAGTCTTTTTTTTTTTTTCTTCCAGGAAAGACCTCACTATGTTGGTCTGGAAATCACTATGGTATCAAATTTGCAATCCTTAGCTTTGAGTACTAGGATTGTAAACTTGCACCACCATGTCCATTATGGTTTCTGACAACAAAAGGCTACATCTCTAGGATAGCTCCTCTTAAAATACCTGTTTGAAGGGCCAGGTGTGGTGGTTCATTCCTATAATCCCAGCTTCTAGAGATCAGGAGTATCAGTGTCTAGGCCAGTTTAGGCAAAAAGTTAGACCCCATATCAATCAACAAGCCAGGTGTAGTGGCATATGCCGTAATCCCAGGTAGGAAGAAGGTGTAAAGGAGGAGGATAAAGGCCCAAGGGCAGTCTGAGCAAAAACATGAGACCCTATGTGAAAAATAACTTAACTGTATGGGGGGGAGCCAGGGGCATAGTTCAACTGATAGACTGCCTTTGAAGCAAGTGTGAGGCCCTGAGTTCAAACCCCAGTCCTGCCAAAAAAAAATAGTCATTAATAAAATCTGTTCTGAGCTCAGAATGTAGCTCAGTGATAGAGCTCTTGCTAGCATTTTCAAGGCCTGGGGTCCAATCCCCAGCACCACAAAAACCAAAAACAAACAAAACCTGTCCAGCTCTGTTTATTTTTGTTACACTTATGGCTTTGGACAAAACCATGCCTACCTGTGCCTTTCTTTTGTATATAAAGATTTAATTTTATTAGTGTAAATGACTTGTACAAAGGGGTTTCATTGTAACATTTCCATACATGCATATAATATATTTAAATCAAAGTCACCCCCTCTATTACTCTTTCTTATCCCCCCTTTATACAATTTTCATTATGTTATTTTTATACATACATGTAATATACTTTGATCATATTCACTCTCCCCCCACCTCCTCCTTTCACACTGGTTCTCCCTGAAACAGACTTCTTTTACATTCAGGTGTATACAGACCTCCTGATTATCAATACATTTTTCATGATAACAAGGCTTTTGACTCTTCTGTGGATCTCAGAGTCTAGAAGAGAACTCCTCGTATATTCCCTGTGTGGCAGCCTTGGCCTAGAATGTGGAAAGAATTAAAGACCACAACAAAGTTTTGAGGAATTAGGTGGCAGTGGAAGAATAACCACCCCAGAACTACCAGCATGGAAAACCACAGGCTAATGTGGACTCCAGGACCTTTCATCTCCCATGTGTTTAGATGTTTGGGGCTGCCTGTCTTCCTTCTCTCACCTCGTCCCCATCCCTCTTACAGTGCCCGTGAATGGTGACAAGCCTAATTCCCTGTAGATTTATAAACCCACAGAGGAGGAAGGATGAGAGAAATCTGTAAACAGAATAACTATGTTAAAAACTCTGAACTGTGACTCCTGTAGAGGTTGAAAATACAATTTTCCCTCTATTCTTAGCTGGGATGGACCCTTGTAACAAGAAATGGGTTAGCAAGAGCGAACGGTATTCTATTAAAATATATGTTTCACACGTACATAGGCAATGCCCAGGGAGTGAAGAGGTAGCCTAGAACTCTGGCCTTTATAGCATCTTTGACAAATAACAGTATGTTTTGCTAAGTGACAAGATGAACGAAAATGACCTTGAGTCTCTAGGGAGCAGCAAATTGTGGAAAGGCAAATAAATTTGTTAATGGTAGATAAAAACTAGTAAGATTTGTTATGTAGGTGCCACTACCAGGCTGATAAAGGTCTAAAATTGTCTCTGGTGACCAGCTCTCCAGTAGAGAAGGGAGACGTTTGTAAATCGGTGCTTTGCTTTTGAACTGAGGGAGACCAGGTGATTTTCTGGCCTTCTCAAGTCCCTTCAGCTCAAAATCCTGTGCCAAGGTGGCTTATTTCGGAGGAGGATATTCTGGTCACTGACATTCCCTTTTTTTTCTAATGTGTGTATAAACTGCCTTTTAGATGAGGTCACGTGTGTTCAGGGTGGTATGGCTGTAGACTGAATTGCCTTTCAGATCCACACTTTGTGTACTGTGATTCCCCTTGCTGAAAGAACATACACTTGAACTACTTTTCAAAGTGCGTTTTACCTTTATTGACATGTCTGTACAGCAGCTTCCACACCGTGTGGATCCTGAAAGGGTTGCTGGAAAGACGGTTGGGGGCAGTATGAACGTACACTGAACTCAGGTGTAAGAGTGAACCCATAAATTAGGCATTACAAGTTAAGGCGAGTTAGTCACCTGCATCCTGGTAAGTAGATACTCCCCTTACTTTTCCTGTTTGTGTATTTTTAAAGCAACAGCCAAAGTCCTATTACAAAAGAAGACAAGGCAAACACGAATTTTAAACCTGCTAATTACTGTCTGTCTGCCTTTCTGAGACTGATGAGCGCGTCTGAAAGGGGAGATAGGCCAACTCCATATGCCTCCCTAGGAGATGGAGTGCTCAGGTTGCCAGGCACAAGGACTCAGAATGTTCCCCTGGAGGACAATGGAAAATGTGTGTGACTGCTTGTTTCCCTCATCTTTTCTCAGAAAAACTGAGTCACAAGCCCATGTCTGACATGGAAAACGTGAAGTCCTTGGTTCACAGGCTATTTACAGTCTTGCACCTAGAAGAGTTTCATAAGAAGAGAGAGCAACATTTGCTGGAGAAAATTGACTACCTGAAGGAACAGCTGCGTCCCCTGGAGCAGGTTCGCAGCTTTGGTTGGGTCCCTTTGAAAGTAATGCTTGGTGTTTACTGAGCACTTCCCACTATGAGCCTTTTTGTGAATTTGGTAGTTATCTTCATGTTCAGATCAGGAAATTGGGCAGCAGAGGTATAGCGCTAACATGTGGAAGTGCCTGCACTTAACTCAGGTGGTCTGATTGCACTGCTGACACCTTAAATTCAGTGCTGCATTTCCTGTTAGGATCAGCCTTGATGTTTCTGCAAACTAGAGGGAGGTGGGATGCCACCTTTGTGGCTGAAAAGTTAGTGATGGCTTCCTAGTATTACAGTTAACTAATAGTGGACATTCTTTTTTTTTGAGGGGTGAGGTAGAGTCTGGTTTTTTTTTGGGGGGGGAGTACATTAAGCTTGTAATCCCATTTGTGAGACGTGTGTGTGTGTGTGTGTGTGTGTGTGTGTGTATGTATAAATATATACACATATATAAGTAAATTTCTTTTGGTATAGTTTTTTTGGTAGTGCTGGGGTTTGAACTCAGCTTCACCCTTGCTGGTGGTGTTATACTGCTCGAGCTATGACCCCAACCCCTATTTGTGATTTTTTTTTGTTTTTATTTGTGGGCCTGGGGTTTGAACTCAGAGCTTTGTGATTGCAAAGCAGGCACTCTACTGCTTGAGCCACACCTTCAGTTCTGTGATTTTTTTTTTTGAGACAGGTTGTTGATACGTAGTTCAGGCTAGCCTTGAACCCGTGATCTTCCTGTCCCAGATTACAGGTGTGTACCACCGTACCTGGTTTCATTTGTGATTTTTTTTTTTAAATGGGCAGATATATCCTTATTTTTGTATATGATTAGAAAGTTTCTGGAGATGTAAGTTTTAAGAGTAATTTCCTCTGAGGATATTTATGACATAGCAGAAAGAGGGACTTGTTTTTTTTTCTGGATTACTTGCCCACATCTTTTTTCCCTAAGGAATTGATATTTACTTGAATTTAAGTTTAGAAACCTAAAAAGTATCCAATGTATAGTTTTCCTCTTGTCCTATGCTCCCAGTCATTATGTCCCCATACTTGTGAATCATTTTGAATTTATGTCTGTGTACTCTTACCCTTTTCCCCTGGAAAGCTCTCCTTGTTGAGCTTCCCAGTTAACATTTTGATGCCATGTGGATTCTTCGTCTTTTCCTACTAAGAATGACTCTCTGAAGGACCATGTGTGTGAAAGTGTGCCCAAAGGATGAATTCCCAGAAGTGGATCGCTGGTCACAGGAAATAGGCCCGTGGTTTTAGTTAGGTTTCAGAGAATGACTTTTGAGTTTTTCATTGTATATCCTTCTATAGTATTCAGTGTTCAGTAATACCTGTAAGCAGGTATTACTTTTATAATTTAAAAGAGACCAATAAGCTGATTTAGAATAATTAACGTATGTTTTACAAACTTTTTCCATATGCCTGACCTCTTTAAAATAACACAGATGTGCATTAGTTTGAATGTTCCTTTTCTGCCCCCACCCAAGTTGGTGCACTTGTAACTGAAGTGGCATTCCTCCTTCCCTAGGTGAAAGCTAGAATTGAAGCTCGCTCAGAAGCCAAAACCAGTGGACTCCTGTGGGCTGGCTTAGCGCTGCTGTCCATTCAGGGGGGTGCACTGGCCTGGCTCACGTGGTGGGTGTACTCCTGGGACATCATGGAACCAGTTACATACTTCCTCACATTTGCAAATTCCATGGTCTTTTTTGCATACTTTATAATCACTAGACAGGTAAGTAGTTAGGAAAATGGTAAGTTAGAATAACTTTGTAAAGAAGTCCTTATCCAAATCAAGCAAAAAGCAATAAAACCTTTCTATTTACTGAGTTACTGCTGTCTGGGTTTTCATACGTTGGTAAATTTTGTTTTTCACAAGGCTGGATGGAGACTTCATAGCACATAGAAAATATGTATATATAACCTCTGTACATGATTAATGAATATAACTCCACTGGGGTAAATTTGCCACATTTATGTTTGGTTTTCCCATTTTTAGGTGAAACTGAATTTGTATTGCAACCCACCCGGTAACTAGCTTTATCTCATGGTGGCTTTGCCAAAAATCTTCCTTTCCTTTTTTTTTTCTCTTCTTTCCCAGTATGTGTAATTTCTCTTCCCAGCGTGCTTGCTTTAAAGGAGCAGCTGATCTCATTTAGTCAAATGAGATTAAATGTGCTGTGTTGGCTCATGTTGGCTCTGACAGCCACTGTAAATATTTATAGTCCTTCATCTGCCTTCCTTTGCCTTGGTGCTGCTGAGGCCAGCGCCTTTCTTGCAGAGGCATGTGTTCATTCAACACGCTCTGCTCTTTTCTTTTATAGAATTATACTTACTCATCTCTGAGGAGTAGGCAGTTTCTTCAGTTCTTCCATAAGAAATCACAGCACCAGCATTTTGACGTGGAACAATACAACAAGTTGAAAGATGACCTTGCTAAGGTACTTAGTGCAAATACACCTATCGCTGGTTTTGTTTGGGAGCCAAAACTGAGTGTTAGGAAAATAAATGCAATTGCTGGGTCACCCTCACTCACTCTTAGATTTTTGTGTGCAGTTGGGACCGTTCAGGAAATTGGTTGACCTATCTCTTACTAGTTTCATGTTCTAGTTTTATTCTTGTCTTCTGTACTCTACATGTCATCCCCATATTTTAAACATGTATGAAAATGTCTTAAGTGGGTCAGATGCTTTCAACAGGAATCTGTTTCTAGGCCAACAGAATTTTAGCTGTGGCTCACACCTGTAATCAAGAGGATGACAGTTCGAAGTCAGCCCTGGCAAACAGTTCTCAAGACCCTATCTTGAAAACAATCAGCACAAAAACGGGCTGGTGGAGTGGCTCAAGTGGGGGTAGAGCACCTGCTCAGGAAGCATGAGGTTCTGACTTCAAACCCCAGTGCCGCCACACACACAAAAAATCTGTATCAAGCTGAAATAATTAAGGCATTTATTCCAGTAGCTTAAATGTTTTAAGGAGACATTAAATTTATAATCCCAAAGTTTCTTATTTTCACTGATCACGTGCCTTTTCTTTTTCCCACAACAGGCTAAAGACTCCCTAAACCAGGTGCGCCATTCTCTGTACTTGAGAATGCAAGTAGAGGGACTCGATGAGAAGAACTAATCAAAGCACCACTGGAGTCTCCATTATATACTGATTTCCTGCCTTACAGACTGGCCATTTTTGAGTCTCACAGCATTTCAATTTGACTGTTTCAACCTTTTTTAGTTAATAAATTTGCGTAAAACAGAAGTATTCTTTGAAGTTTTTTCTTGAGAATTCTTGGTTTGTGGATTCTCATGACTAGTTAATGCTACAGAGGGGCCTGTGTGTCTTTGTCAGAGCTGTAGGTGCCACTGGCTAAACACCCTCCCCAGCCTGTCCCATGTCCCACTAACCATAAGGTGTAGCTGGACTTTTCAAACAACCCATGCAAAGTATTGCTTTTGAATTAGCAATTGACATCTAACCATCTTCGTCCCAGCAGGTTAACAAATAGTGTCACTCATGTTAATTAGCACTGCGCCTTGAAAGTCACTTGTGTTATTCTTAATGTGACAGTCTAATGACTGTTGGACATAGATGGAAGATCTGGACAGTCAAGCTTTTGCAAATGTATGCCTACAGTAGCTAAGAACTACTGTGCACTATATGTTAGTTATCCCCAGAATGCCATAAAATTGCTGAAGGTTGATTTTTTTTAAAAGTGGGAGTCAGAGTCATATTCTAAATATGGTGCTTCACGGGTACATGAGACAGTGAACATACATGACCAAGTCCACTACAAATAGCATAAATAAGACGAATTTTAAAAATTTAATAAAACATGAATTTCAAGTATCTTATTGAAGGAAAACAATCATTCTTGGGTTTCAAAAACTTTTAAAAACATTAAAATTCTATAAAAACTGGTACAAAATAGAAGTTAAATCAGCCAGGTATTTACTGTTTATATTTGCAGTTTACTAAAAAGAAAAAACCCTTAATAAATGCTTATAGATCTTTATGTAATTTCCTGAGGATTTCTTTTCAACCCCTTTCACCATGTCCACATGAACTATTAAAAAAGAAAGGTACTTCTCTGCTGGTTATTAAACCCTGCAACATTTTAGATTGCTGGACCATACACTTCCACCTAGTGACAATTATATAAAAAGGGAAGTGTTTATGGAATAGAGATAATAAGGCAAAACAGTCCCTACTTACTAGATTTTGGAGAAAAATACAGCTTTTTAGTTAGCATGGAGGCAAAGCAGGGAACCTGCTTCTTGCCAATTGCACTTGGGTCTTTACAGAAGTCCACTCGGCGCTGGGAAACCTTCCTGTTCACCAGGGTGAGGAGCTCAGTGAACTCTAAGGAGGAACCGTATTTCCCCAGCATCTCACACAAATCTTGAATGTACCATGAGCCATTCACAGTTTCTCGGTGAGAATAATAGCCTAAAAAAAAAAGAGGATAAGAGGGCACTGTAGTTTCCTTTCAGTTCAAGGTGACTGAAAACAACCTTTATTACGACTCATAGTTACAGAAGTATACTTCTCAAAGATCCTTGGAAAAGACTCAGGTGTGTCCGTAATAGGGTTTTCTAATTTTTCTACTGACTATTCATGTAGGAAATTAATTCTATACTTTTATATACATGGAGTTGATGCTATATAATTTCTCCCATTTCTGAAAAAAAAAATTCCCAAGATAGTAGCCAATGATTCTGATGATTTTGAAAGGCAAAATATTACAAAACATAATATAGTGGAACACAATTATTCACAATAAAAGCAAAGAATAACATCAAAATCTTTTTCAATAAGGCTTTCCATGAATTTTACCAAAGTGGCACCACCATGTAATCAATCAGTGATAGCAGGCTGCTAATATTTAAAACGATTAGACTTGTTGCTTGACTCAACATAGCTCTTAGGAATGACGTTTTCTATAGAGTATTTTAACTTCACTTATCTCTGTGTCATGTGATGAAAGAAATCCCTTCTAACGCCTGACTTTCTGTTGGCAATTCAATCCTAAAAGACCTGACCCAGCTCAAAGGTGACACAGACGTTTAGCCAGGGGCACCAATCACAGGTCTGTCTGAACCCCTTTCCCCCTCACCTTCTGCAACAGAGTAGCACATGAGGAAGTCAGCTCCAGCAGGCAGTGTGTACACTGAGGCTGCATCCACCTCCGTTACGTTGTTGTCCAGCTTGTCTGTCTTATGATCCACCACATCCAAAGGAATGACTGGCACGTCGTGCTGGTCTCCCCGACATGCCTACAAAACGAGGATAAAGCTCTACCTACTGCTTTCTTCCCAGTCCTTCAGGTGCGGAGTGAATGTACAATTCAGGACACTTCTATCAATAACAGAACTCATACTATAAGCAGTTCAAAAACACTACACTGAGGTTGGGTGTGGTGGTAAATGCCTGTAATCAGGAGACAGAGGCAGGAAGATGGCAGTTCAAGGTCAGACCAAGCCAAAAAAAAGGTTGAATCCCATTCTAAAAATAAAAGGGCAATGATGTTGGCCCAGTGGTGGAGCACTCACCTAGCGTGTGCAAGGCCCGGTGCCAAAAAAACAAAAACAAAAAAAGCCCCGATACATTCAGGTCTGCAGGGGACGAATGCTGCTGGCAGAGTTGTTTCCTGAAGTTTTTAGTCAGCAGAGAAAAATAAATGGGATCCCCAAATACATACCAATTACGTTGAAAGGTATTCTGTAGAGGAGGCAAACGCCGCTAAGGTTTTAAAATTTCCAATGCATTAACTATGCCCATACAGTCTGTCTTCTTTTTGTTTATTATTATTTTTGGTGGGACTGGGGTTTGAACTCAGGGATTTGTGCTTGCAGAGCATTGTTCTACTGCTTGAGTCACACCTCCAGTCCATTTTGCACTGTTTATTTTGTTCCGTTTTTTTGTGCGGTACTGGGGTTTGAACTCAGAGCCTCACACTTGACAGGCAGGCACTCCACCACCTGAACTCCGCCAGCCTTTGCTCTGGTTATTTTGAAGATGAGGTCTTTCGAACTACTTCTTTGGGCTGGCCTCAAACTGTGATCCTCCTGATCTCAGCCTCCCAAATAGATAGTTTTACAGGTATGAGCCTCCAGTCAGTGCCCAGCTACCCTTTCTTTTCTGTGGTTTTTTTTTTTTTTTTTTTGGTGGGATGGGGGTTTGAACTCAAGACTTTGCATTTGCAAAGTAGGTGCTCTACTACTTGAGCTACACCTCCAGTTCGGCCCTTTCTTTTAAAAGCTATAGGACTGCAGGTATGACTCAAGCAATAGAGAGCCTGCTTTGTAAGCAGGAAGCCCTGAGTTCAAACCCCAGTCCCACCAAAACAAAACAACAACAAAAAAAAGAGCTGATATCTTTTAAAAGCTATGGTTGTACCTAAGTGTTTTCAATTAACCAGGTTATATATTTCCAGATGGGGCTGTGCCTGCCTGGCTGCTGCTATAATTTGTCAATAGTCGAAATGACATTTTCCTGACCTGAGACAACTTTCAATGTGTCTTCCTCCTTTTGTACCCACTTTAAAGTAAAGTACTAAATTTATATCCACAAATTCTGACTTAGAAGCTACATTAATTTTGTGTGTGTGCCAGAGATCAAATCCAGGGCCTCACACTTGTGATGCAAGCACTCTGATGCTGAGAATCCCTGACCTCTAAACTGTATTTTTTTTTTTAATTCATATGTGCATACACTGTTTGGTCCATTTCTCCACCCCCCAACTCTCCTCCCCACCCCTCTCGCTTCCAGGCAGAACCTGTTCTGCACTTTTCTCCAATTTTGTTGAAGAGTAGACATAACCGTAATAAGGAAGACAGCATTTTTGCTAGTTGAGATAAGGACAGATATACAGAGAGATTCCTAGCATTGCTTCCACGCACACGTGCACTCTTAAGTGAGTATTACAGGCTGAATTCTGTCCCCTGTCCTAAACTCATACGCTGAAGTCCCAGTCCCAGGACCTCGAGGTGGCTGACTGTATTTGGAGGCAGGGCCTTTAAAGAAGTAATTGAGACACAATGCAGTCATATGAGCAGGCTCTAATCCAGTATGACTGGTGTCCTCTCAGGAGGGGAGACTAGGACATGGACATGCACAAAGGAAAGACTGTAAAGACGGAAGGACAAGACAGGCAGGTTAAGCTAAGAGAGGCTTCAGAAGAAGCCAGCTCTGCCAGCACCTTGATCTAAGACCTCCAGCCTCCTGAGACGATAAAGTCCTGTTGTTTTAAGTCGAGCAATCTATGGCACTTTGTTATGGTAGCCCCCAACTCCATGTGACACAGACACCACAACACACTTGTCCTTAACTTTTCTTACAGCCACCTCCTTTGTCAAGGCTGTAGGGCGAGATGTGGTACCATGGGATTTCATGCCCTCCAGGGCATTTCTGGAAACACAGCATTGTAACACCAGAATACTTGGTTTCTTTTTTGTTCAAAATCCTAATTGATGTGCCAAGTAATCTTCCATCAAAAAATGTTTACCCTTAAAGACCAATTTGGCAGAGAGGAAGCCATCTTGGTTTTAGGGGGACTGGCACGCTATGCCTACATCATTTCCACTGCTGCCTGTTCTTAAACTCCACAGACCCAAGCGTCAGCTGACCGGGCTGCCTTGCATGGTTCTCTTCAGTTGGCACCTTCCTTTTTCCCCTAGCTCTACTTCCATATCCAGCTCAGTCAGACAGCAGCATTTTGGTTATTTTCCATCATTTCAAACCTCAATTCAAATACTGTTGTTTTGTCATAAGGATATTGACAGTGTTGAAAAAGAATTGTCACTAGTAGTTCAAAGTATAACTCTGGCTGGGTGGGATCCAAACAGGGCCTTTCAGATTGCTGGAGGAAGTTACTTTGGAAATTGGCTTTTAGACTTTATAATCACATGTACCCAACCATGGATTTCATAATTAAGATAATATTATCAGTCTTACCTGAATGATAAATATCTTGGGTTTCCCAACCAGGCTCTGACACTTGTCTCCTTTGAACAAGCCAGTTAATGTCTGGATTTCAATTTTGGCGTCATACGCATAGACGTGATTGCCCTCACCATGGCTCAGGAAAACACATAAAAAGCAATCGGCGTCTACGTGGCTTGAGGTTGATACTATGAAGTCCCCCAAAAGTGCATATGGAAATGAAAATAAAATGCTTATTATCTGCCTATGAAAATTTAATTTATTAATCCTAGAACAAAGATACATCCAAATGATGGGGTTGCACTTGTTAGTCTTTAATAAATGTAAACTATCTGTAATGAAACACAACTTAGTTTTTAATCAAATAGATTAACTTAGAACAAACTGCATCTGACCTTTAAAAATTTTATTAAAGTTCAAACAAATAAGAGCTTAACCAAATTTCATTAGCTTTTTAAAAAACATAGAATAATGACATAGAAAACATAAAAATATTATGATGAGGACCCTCCTTTAAGATCCAAGTTACTGGGGCAAAAAATTAAGTTTCTTTGAATCACCATAGACTTTCCTAGATCAGACTGGAAAGACCCAGAAACGACCACCTCCCACACAGACCAGGCCTTCACAGTGTGTATATATAGTACTCCGAGCTTCCAGAAGAATTAAGACATGACTGGTGTCCTCCAACACTTATGAGCAAAGTAGAAAATCAAGTAAGCAGCCAATTAAAAATTATTTGCAGTGTCATTAAAGAAAAGCTCTGAAAAAAGTTTAAAATAATTATGCAAATAACAGTAATAGCCTCTTAGCAACTGATCTGAAACCCACTAGCATGCAGTAATGATGAGTTATATTAATTAGAATACCGCTTGCATAGTAATGTTGTAAAAATTAAGAAACTTGCAAGTCAATCTTATTTGAAGCCAGTGAAAAAAATGGGGTAAGAAAAGAGTCAATGTTCCTCACACCTGTAATCCTGGCTATTCAGGAGACAGAGATCAGGAGGATCAAGGTTGAAGCCAGCCTGGGCAAAGAGTTTGTGAGACCCTATCTTGAAAAAACTCATCACAAAAAGTGCTGGTGGAGTGGCTCAAGGTGTAGGCCCTGAGTTCAAGCCCTAGAGCTGCGGGGGCGGGGGGAGGAGGGGAAGAGCCCATCAAACTGGGCATGGTGGGAATCCATCAAAATTCGAAATTCTGTAATTCCAGAACTCAAGAGGCTGAAGCAGGAAGAGCTCCTCAAGTCTGAGGCCAGCCTGAACTATACAGCAAGACCCTGCCTCAAAAAACCAAATCTGCCACGGGCAAGACCAAAACCTACAGCCCACTGATCAATTAATAACTCTTTTTTGCCACAGTGAATTATTTATTCACTTTACAGACAGTGTACTCAATCCCCTCAGAGGAAGATGAATGGTTAATTAGAAATGCTACCTACCCTCATGAATTGTGAGCAGCAGCTCTTCTGCTCTGAGATCATTAAAGCATTTCACTTCAAATCCTAGATCTGAAAACCTGGTGACATAGTACATTGAAAATTAGCTTATGAGCTTTTCCACGTTGTCAAAACTCCTTACTTTTGAGGAATCCGTACACATTTTTATAACATATAAATCTTTTAAGAGATAAAATATGATGATGGTTTTCTCTGATCAGCCATAGCAGGAAAAGATTTAACCATAATGACAGTCAATTTAATTTAGAATATTGCCATCCACTATGCAAATATGTTAGTAACAACACAAAGCCTGTTAAGGTTTAACAGAATAAGGAAGATAACTCAGGTAAGTGCTTAAGGGAAACTCTGATTAGGGGGTATTTGGTTTTGTGATACAGGGGCGGTTGAAACTGGGGCCTCATGCATGCTAAGCTTTGTGTTGCTGCATAGAGTCCTTGATCCGTTATCTGTGTCAGAAAGTTATGATTAGTTCTGTTATTGCTTAAGTGTGTCATCTTTACATTCAGAGGAAACTACTACCTGCGGGTCAAGTTGTCCCTGTCAGCATGGGTGCCCCGCCGGTTTGGCAGTGTCAAATGCCACAAGAACATCTCATGATTGAAGATGAGGGCAATTCCTCTCCTCCTGTGGTCCATCTTGTACCGTTCTGCTGGATCAAATACCTCCTGTTAATGAAAAGTTTAAAGAAAATGTCAAGTCACGTTAAATAAGGAGCCCCTCCGAGCCCAATGTCAACATGCACACGGAGGCCTACTGCTTCCCCCTTGGCCAGTCTGAAATTGTGCAGGTGTGCACTGGGAAAGGGACATTACCATCAGTTACCATCAAGTGAGCTCCCTACCCCAGGCCCTCCCCTGATCTCCAGGATCCAAGCAGCCTGGCCAGGGCGAGCTCTGGCAGCAGGCCCAGACCATGTCAATTATTAGCTAGCTTGAACTCCACTCCTGGCCCTTCGAGAGCAGCGACTAACTGCTCCACCTAAAACTGACTCCCCAAATGCTAAAACTTGACACGCTCAGTTCTATTCTCTAGCTCCAGGTCCCATTTTTGCTTTGATTTTCACAGGATATTCATGACCGTTATTAGACAAGTGCATACTTCACCTTTTGTAGAAGGCATCTGTTTCTGTCACGTTTTGTTCCTCACCTATTAAAAAAAAGTTGTTTTGTGTTAATTTACTTTTTGACTTAGGGTAGTAAAACACAGCAGAAACTCCTTTCCACTTCTGACTCTGTACAAGTGTGGAAAATGAAGGGAAGCTAATTAACAATAAATTAATTATAATAGCTCAATGCTTTCTCACCTCCAAATCTTCCCTGCAAAATAACACATCACCTTATAAACAGAAATGGAGAAAGTATCACACAAGTACAGTCACAGCAAGATGTGCCTAGAGTAGGCCAGTTCTGTGATTATGGAGCTTGAATACAATATGCAATTGCTGTGTTATGCAGAAGTGTTTTTGCAAACATTCTGAAATAGCAGGAATTGAGTCATAAAAGGGAACTAAATCCAGGTGGTGGTTAACACTGGATTACCCTACTCCATGCAAGAGTTACAAATCTGGGTGGAAGAAAGGGAGGCTAATGTCTTACAAAGGCCCAGACTTTGGATCTCCTGAATGACACACATAATGACTTCTGTGCCCTCCAATCTCTGGACAATCTTTCATCACATCCTTCTCTACTCTCCAAAGCAGTGCTGTGGGATGAACTTTCTGCACTGATGGAGTTGTTCCTCACCTGCACTGCCCCATGCAGAAGCCACTGGCTACATGTGAAGATGGAGCACATGAAATGTAGCTAGCACAACTGAGGATCTACATTTTTCATTTCTTTATATTCAATAAGTGTAAATTTATTTTGTTTTATTCTTTTGGAATGAGGTGTCTCTATATGGCCCAGGCTGGCCTTGAACTCATGGACTCAAGCCATCCTCCTATCTTAGCCTCCTGAGTAGCTGAGACTATAGACAGCTCAACCCTTGATTAATTTAAATGTAAATGGATATTTGCAGTAAGTGGCTCTGTACTGGACAGTGCAACAAGAATAGCATCATCTACAATAAGGGCCCATCATTAAGAATCCGTTTCATTATAACTTAATAGCTTAGACGAGAAAGTAATGAACATGCAGAAATATTAAGCTGCACCCTGTGGTTGGGGTCTTTGAAGACAGAATGATCCTAAAGTGTGGACTTCTACCTAACACCCCTTATCCCAGTGGGTTATGTTCACCTTTGTCCTTGGAGGTCTCCTTCTGACACCTGACTGTTCCAACCTCACTTCTCCCTGAAAAAAATAAACCCTTGGGAGCAAGAGTAAGGTAGGGAATTCAACTCAAGTACCGTTAGCCAGACATCTCCAGCTTATAGTTCCTGGAAATCACTCTGGCTCTCAGACTCAACTAAGATCCCAATAAGGCATTCCCTGTCCTAGGGGCAGGCCTAAGTGGGTTTTCTCAGCCTGCATCAGAATCCTGGTGTGAGTGTCAAAGTGCAGATAGATTCCTTGGTCCTAACCAAGATTTACAGACTCAGAATCCTGGAGGAGCTGTGTGGGGAGCAGAGGAGGAGAAACCTATGAGGACATAAGCACAGTTGTACTCAATATTCTGCAAGATGAGTTCAGCACAGCCCCAGCTGCAGAATAGGGTGAGACTAAGATGCACAGCAGCTGCTTTTCCTGAAATGTTTATGTCAAATTATCTGTAGGCTGAGATTTGGCACAGCCCCAGCTGCAGAAGAGAGCGAGAAGGCAAGCTGCAGCTGAGCTGCTTTTCCTAAATTGTTTATGTTCAGAAAAAGAGGAATGCATGTTTCTCCTGTTACAATGTCACACCCCTCCCTAGAAAGTCTGATCCACCTCCTTGTTTACCACTGGATATAAAAGACTCGCTGAAGGAGGATGAGAGGCTTTTTGATGGGGGGTTTTTGGCTGAAGGGAAATTGCTGGAGGGAGGACTGCTGAATGGGTTTTTTTTTTATTCATTTATTCACATGTGCATACATTGTTTGGGTCATTTCTCCCTCCTGTCCCCCTCCCTCACCTTCTCTTCCTCTCTCCCCCTCACTTCTAGCCAGAACCTGTTCTGGCCTTATCTCTAATTTTGTTGAAGAGAAGACATAAGCATAATAAGAAAGACAAAGCGTTTTTGCTAGTTGAGATAAGGACAGCTATACAGAGAGATTCCTAGCATTGCTTCCATGTACACATATGTTACAACCCAAGTTGATTCATCTCTAACTGATCCTTACACTGGTTCCTGATCCCCTTCTCATGTTAACCTCTGTCGTTTTAAGGTTTCGGTATTAGTTCCTCTGGAGTGGGGATGAGAAGATTGCTGAAGGGAAAAGAACTGCCGAAGGAGAATTGCTAAAGAGGGGTTGATAGAATTGGTTGGCAGCTTGCGATGGAAAGCTAAAGAGAGAACACAGGACAGTGCAAGTCTGCACTGAGCACTTTATGCATAGGCTTTAGAAAAGCTAAGCTAAAGAAAAGCTAGAGAGAACATGGGACAGAGTGAGTCTAAGAAAGATACTTTAAAGAACAGAGAAGACTTTAGAAGCGAGGTTTTAAAGAATAGAAAAACTTTAGAAGCAAGGTTTTAAAGAACTGTAAAGGTGTAAGGTCTTAAAGCATAAAGATAGAGAAAAGAAGCAATGAGGCTGTTGTGTGTCTCCATCCAAGTGCCCAACACACCTGGCCCCAACTTTCTGTCTATCTTTTGTCCTTTCTGCATCTCCTGTCGCCCCCAGTTAGGTTCAGCAGTAACAGGAGCGAGAAAAAGTTCGCTCCAGAGCTGGGTGTCAGTGGCTCACACTTGCAATCCTAGCTATTAGGGAGGCAGAGATCAGGAGGATCATGGTTCAAAGCCAGCCCAGGCAAACAGTTCCTGAGACCTTTATCTCAAAAATACCCAACACAAAACAGGGCTGGCAGAGTGGCTCAAGTGGTACAGTACCTGCCTAGCAAGCATGAGGCCCTGAGTTCAAACACCAGTTACTGCCAAAGGCAAAAAAAAAAAAAAAAAAAGGAATCCTAGAGGAACAGAGTGGCAAAGAACAGCTGAATTTTCCACCAAACTCTGGTAGCAAATAGTGATGGGTTAGACCTGAGCAATTGGACATGCAAAGGAAATCTAAAATGGAGGATCTTTGATTCTCAGAGTGCTGAGAGCCCCATTCTCTTTTTCTCATGGTTGTTTGCTTACATACTAGAAGTTAAACTTTGCTTGGTCTAGGCTTTTGGTGTCACATCACTGTAAAACCTGTGAAACATAAAGGGGACCCCCATATGACCAACAGGGAGAAGACAAGGTGTGAGCTGCTATGAAGGCCTGATGTGGATGAACCGTCCTTAAGGTCAAGCTTGCTCTGGAATGTATAAACATTATGTCTCCCTACAATTGGTCCCAAATGAAGAACAAGTTCTGATCTAAACAGGTTAAGGTGGACTAATCTCATTTTACTCTTAAATCCACCCCCTTCCTAGTGGGTTTTTCTCAGGAAGTCGTACAGTGATTCTCGTAAGACATGCTGTAATTCTATCCAGACTTCATGTCAATCATTCCCTGTAGGCTGGTCCTGAAGGGAGTGGAGCATCAGACCCCTTAAACTTCAATAAAAGCTTGGGCCAGGGTGGATGTAGACGTCATCATGGTTCTCCACCTCTCTTTCCTGAGAAGACCCACTTTCGCCTCCCTGTTCTAATAAATTTTACTGTGTTTAGTAAACTTTGCTCTCACTTTCACTACGTTCCACATCTTGCCTGAATTCATCTCACAGGATGCAAGAATAGAGATGGCTGCATTGATCTTCTGGAGAGAAGAGCTGCCCCTCTCTCCACTTTCCTGAGTTTTCATGCAGGGCATGAGACAGCTCTTTGGTCTGATCCATGCCCAGGCCATCACAGGACCACAAGCCTCCTTCTCTACACACAGCTCTGTGGAGGGAACACAAAGGCTTCCTCCTGCCACATTCAAAAGGTGTCCAGTCCTTCCTCCCTTAGTTAACCTATCTTTTAGCCAATTAGACCACAAAGAAACTGAATAACTTCCTACTAAGCAAATGAGATCCACATTGGAAGCCAACCATCATCCTCATCCCTGAGACAAACCAGCAAAGCTGGACAGCAGCTAGCCTTGGCTTTGGTGGAAAGGTGGAGTAGACCTGGGAGCTCACCTCCTCCAGTTTTTGCCCTTATTGACTGCTGGACACAAAGTGGCCTGAAAGATGCTGGACCAAATACCTATCGCTCAACTAACTCCAGTGTCCAGGGGTGAAAGCACTGGAGTCACATGCATCCTTGACTGGGTCGTCAAAGCTAGCTTTCATATTCTCTAAGGAACGTCACACTTCTTCCTGGCTGAGGTAGTTTACGATGTGAGCTGGAGTTGTCTCGAATATTTCCTGCGGCTTGGTCAAGGTTAATAGGCTTAATAATCCCAGGAAGGGAATTTTAAAACAGCCTTTTGTTGTTTTTCCTTAATACAGGGAATGTAGAAAGAAACAGCTGTGGAAACTTCTGACCCCAGCTGATGCTAACCTTCACTGTAACATAAAAGGATGCACCTGCATTCTCTCCTCCCAATTAATGACCAGGGCCACGAGCCATTTTAGTGAGTTGGTAAAGAAAGCCGTGGAGACAAGCTGCAGGACCAAAGTTCCAATACATATCTGTATTGTTTACCCACAGGTTCCAGAAAAAAATAAAAGTACCAAGCAGTTGCGCTGAGAAGGCACACTTAACAAGTGTCATTATGAATAGAAAACAAACAACCCCTCCCAACCCTAAAACTATAAATGGCTTTGCTGACATGGAAAAAGTAATTTTCTTTTGGAGACAGGTTCTCATTATATAACCCAGGCTGGCCGAAAACTCAAGATCCTCCCAATTCAGCTTCCAAGTGGTTGGGATTACAGGTATGCTAAGCGAGAGAATAATTTTAATGAAAGATTTTTTTATATAAAAAAGAAATTTTTAACAAAAGATTCATAAATTTCTGCTTGAGTGAGCTATTTATTAAAAATTAATCATTAATTAATCAAATCTGGTGTTTTTTTCTTGGCTTTTTTTGAGATAGAGTCCTGGCCAGGCTGGCCTCAAATTCTCTCCTGTCTTAACTCTGGAGTGCTGGGATCACAGGTATGCATCATCACACGTGGATTAAACCTGACTTTTGATCTCCTTACTTCTTTTCAGTTCCCCTCTAATGCAGTTGCCATCTCCTAGCTACTAAAGTATGTTTTTTAACAAAGTCACTCACTCATTTTTTTCCTCACCCTAATTTCATAATCCCTCCAGATAGTGCTCATACGCTACCATTGGTTGATGGTCTGGCACTTTAGATAACCTATCTCCCTAGTTCCACCACCCAGGTGCAGCAACGGAGAAAGTGGGTCACACCTGTCCAAGGTCAGTGTTGTGGATGAAGTCTGGATTGAAAGCCAGGGCTGCCAGTGGGTTCCAAAGTCACCAGACATCTCCCACCAGAGGCCGACTGGCCACCATCCCAAACTAGCTGTTCATTCTAGTATTACCTAAGAAAATCTATCCATATTCCCTATCATCCTGCTAATAACCCTACACCGAATAACCTGCTTCCTGCCTAAAACACACATTGAAAGGGTGTGGTGGGGGAAAGAAGGAAGTAAGCAGGCAAGAAAAGGAATCAGACAAAAAGAATTGAAGGGAGGGCTGCCCAATGGCTCACATCCGTAATCCCTGGCACTCGGGAGGCCGAGACTGGGGAGGATTGCTGTTCCAGGTCAGTTTGGGCAAAAAGTTAGTGAAACCCCATCTCAGCCAACAAGATAGGCATGGTGGTGAATGCCTGTCATCCCAGTCATAAGGGAGGCATAAATAGAGAAATCAAGGTCCAGGCCCACCCCGAGTTTGCTCCCTGAGACCTCAACCCAAAACTAGCTAAAGCAAAAAGGGCTGGGGACTTGGCTCATGTGGTAGAGAGCGCCTGCCTAGAAAGCTCAAGGTCCTGAGTTCAAACCCCTGCCCCCATATTGCCTAAAACAAAACAAGCTTTTGGGGGACGGGAGAGTCGGTGCCTCCTAGACCACTTGTTTCAAAGCTGGAGATGGATGGCTACCGGGCCCTGTCCTGTCCGCACAGCCATGATGACCTTTACTTCTTGCCTCTGGAACAAGGCTTCCTTGGTGCAGCAAAAGGTGGAACCGAAGCACTGACCCAAAGGCTCCTCCGTGACCGACTGTGCGCGTTTCCACCTTTTTTCTAAACGATGGCCAGGCCAGAGTCCTAAACCTCACGAGCAATGTAACCGTAGGTGCGGGGCAGAACGTCGCGGGTGGGCGCTTACTTTGCGGAAAAGTTACTACGGGTTTGGCGCGAGCCGTCCCACCGCAGCAGGTGCGATGGGTGCAGGAGGTCCTGGGCTGCGATCCATGGGGGCCGCCCCTTCTTTAACAAGCAAGCAAGAAAACAATGGCCAGGCGGAGGGAGAGGGCGGGGCAGCGTACTCAAGAAAGTGGCCGGGACGCGGGACAAAGGCGACGGTGGCCCGCCGGGGTCGCCGCCCTCCAAGCGGCCAGGACCCGGCGGCCGGACGCCGAGGGGGTTTCCTGGGCTAAAAAGCGAAGCGGTGTCCCCTGCACCAGGCCGCTTGGGGCCAAGAATCGCACCTCCGGGAGGCCCAGCAAAGCCGAGACGCCCGGCTTCCCGTTCCCGTCCGCGCCCTCGCCCAAGCGCCCACCGCACCCCGGCCTACCTGCGGGGCGAGCCCCGGGGCTCCGCGCGGAGCTCATAGCTGCGCACAGCACCGCTAGAAATCCTCACCGCCTGGGCTTCCTGAAACCCGGGCCGCAGCCTCACCTCCCCGCTGCCCCGCCCCGCCCCCTCGGTGCCCCGCCCCCTCGGTGCCCCGCCCCGCCATCGCCGCCCCGCCCCTTCTTCTCCAGTCCCGGCGCTCCAGCCGCGCGTTGGTGTTTCTCCGTCACCCCGGATTCTGCAGGGACGCTCTCTCACCTTCCTCGGCCCTGGAGACAGAGTTGGCCCCGGGGAATTGCCGGTTGCTACACGACGGCTCCCGGGAGCAGGCGTGCCAACTCTTCGCCCTTCCCGACTCCCCGGAGTAGACTGCGTGCGTCCTTACTTCACAAGGAGTGCTCTCCCCAGAGCACTTGCTTTACCGGACTTGTAGTGACATTTCTAATGCACTTTTGGTAGTGCAGGGGACTGCGCCTGAAAGAAAGGGAGGCAACTCCTGGGTTTGCAAGCCTGGCTTGAATAGAGCTGATTTGGGAAAGAAAAGTGCAGAAGTTGGGAGAACCACGGGGGGTGGGGAGGAGTTGTGTTTTCTTTAGGCAGACCAAGTGTCCTCATCCATTAAATGCCGCCCGAACTGCGTGCTTCTCCAGTGTGATGGGGCGACTCAATGTTGACTTTAACTTAGCTGCTTCTTGGGTGGTTGGCAATTGTGTAAAATTTCCTTTACTGACGGTTCTTTCAGATTGGATGAAAAGATGACTTATTTGTGACTCCTCTGGACCTTGTCATTTAAAAAATAACCAAGGTCAGATGAAGTGGAGAATAAAATTATGTTATGGTGTTGTCAATTGGCTGAGGGTTCCTCTGCTCAGGATAGAAAGCACAAAACGGCCAAGTACAGCTACCTCAGTGGTAGCAGCTCTGAGGTTTGATTGCCAGCCACTCTCCACGTTACCAGCTCTTAGTGCAACCGGCTCAGCTGTTCTAGTTAAGATAAAAATCACAGATAGGCTAAATAAAACCATTGGAAAGAGGCTTTATTAGGACTTGATGCTGCAGCACAGGGGAAGCTGTACAGCTTAGGATGAGAGCAGTGTTGCTCATGTAGACCAAGGGGCAGGCCCAGGCTCGGTGTCTCCTCCTGCTAACTGTACACTCTGCGTAACTCTGTTTTTGCAGTATTGGGCCCTCCCGTTGTCTCAAAGGCATCATTCCTAATACATTAAAATAAGTGTAAGGAATGCTTAACTAAGTGTAAGGGACCAATCTCATAAATGTTATATTATGCTGGTGGAGTGGCTCAAGTGGTAGAGTGCCTTGCCTGCCTAGCAAACATGAGGCCCTGAGTTCAAGCCCCCGTAATGAAAAAAAAGTTATATTATTATTCTGGTAGGGAAAAATAAAATCTATTTTGACAACTTGCCCTACATGTGCATTAGTCAGGTCTTGCTTGGTCATCAAATCCAGTATGAAATCAAAGGGTTTTTTTTCAAACCAAGGCATTGACTGTTCGTTGTGTGCACAAAGTATTTCAGAGGTCTTGTAGCCATGCTCATGGCTCTCCTTTGCTAGAAAAGTCTATGCTTTCTTGAGCATGCTGCCTGCAGTACTTAAACTAGCAGCACCAAGTTGATTTGCACCAAACTTCCCTCATCTGTCTCCTCCCCCTTCAAGACTGATGCAAACCAACAGAACACCAGCTGCCAGTTTTCTTCCCTTCCTCTGAAAGATAAAAGGAGCCCTAAACCTGTGTTAAAATGATCATTCAACAGTCTACCATTGTCTCAGTGTTGCTGGCTTACTGAATAAACCTTTTTCTGTGCCCCAATAACTTGTCTTCCATTCACTGGGCCCTTTTTGAGCAGCAAGTAAAGGGATTTTGATTTGGTGATAGCCGCTGTCCTAATAACTTAATTCTGTAATTAAGACATGGAATGCCAGTAGCTCCCTCCTGTGGTGGCTGTGATAACTGAGTCGAGTGACTGCAAAGAACTCTGAACTGAAGCCCTGTGTGGCCCCAGGGGCCACCGGATAATAGCTGTTAGTTTTATGACTACCATCTTCTTAGCTCAGTGAAAGCAGGCGTGGCCTTTCCTTTGGTTTCCTCATTACCTAGCCCAGTGGCTCCTGTAGACATTCAGTAAATAGTTAGCTACTGAATGAGCTGAGTTTCAACATCTGCACTCTGAACCTTATTCAGTTTGAGGGAGTTGTCTACCCAGAACTTCCTGTCCTTTTGTCTGCTTTTCATGGTCTCTGCCGTGAAAGGAATTTATCCTTTTTCCCCCCTCAAGTATCTTATCTAAAATACTGTATTATACTTTTTATTTTGGTTTTTTGAGACAGGGTCTCACTATGTAGCCCAGGCTGGCCTCGAATTTGTGATCCTCCTGCCTCAGCACATGCTCGGTATTACGGGGGTGCACTTGTATACCCAGCTGAGTGTGGCGTTACCTTTCTGTTCTTGTAGCAGGGTCTTCTTATGTGACCCACACTGGTCTCAAATTTGTAATCCTCCTGCTTCAGCCTCCTGGGCGCTGGGATTATATACTCTAAGATTTTTTATCTTAAGACATATAATAAATTATGTGTTAGTGAGATTTCCATTACTGTAATAAATACCTGAGATAAACTGACTTAAAAAGGGAGGCTTATTTTTGGCTAACAGTTTTGGAGGTTTCGGTCCACAGTCAGTTGGCCCTTTGATTTGGGGGTTGTGGCAAGACAGTACATCATGGTAGGAGTGTGTGGCAAAGGAAGATCTCACCTTATGGTGAACAGGAAGCAAAGAGGAAGGGGACAGAGGGCTAGGGTCGCAGTATCCCCTTCAAGGGCATGCCCTCAATGACCTCCCACTAGCCCACCTCATAAAGGTTCTACCACCTCCCAATAACGCCAGGAACTGGGAACCACATCTCTATACATGGGCGTTTAGGGACATTCAAGATCCAAACCATAGCAGTACTTATTTGAAAACTACACATGTATAATTTTAGACTTTTAAAGAGTTACCCAAAGTAGATGGTTGCATACTTGGGATTGGGAAACATGTCAGATAAAGGAATTTACTCTTTTCTGTGAAATGGGGACCAAACATACTCTTAGAGATTTTAAGACAGCTCCTAGAACAGTACCTACCAACAGTAAGCTTTTAGGAATTAGCTATTTTTACTTACCTAGTCCACTTCTCAGACTGTGGTCCTCTGAGCTAGCGGTATAAACACCACGAGAAGTTGCTAGAAATGCACATTGTTGGATCCACCTCAGACCTACCGAGGTCCAGCAATGTACACATTTGTTTCAGGATCACCTAGACTGATGAGAGCCTATTCTCTCCACGCCCCCCTGATCAATCCATTTTATTAAAATAATTCAGATAAAGATCAAAAGCTAACTACTAGAATGGTTCAGTTCTTCGTATACCTGAATAGTCACTATTTTATGGAATTTACTGAAACTGATGATCTTAGCTTGTTATCTTTCCTTGGAATGTAATTCTAAAACTTAAATTTGGGGCATTTTTCAGTATCAACTCTACTTTCTAATTTTTTTTCTTATAGAAATTATAAAAATATTAAATTTCTACATTTCTGATTCCTATAATAAAATGTGAGTACAGCTTGGTTCTGGAACATTCTCCAGACTGTGTTGCCCTCTTAGCCCACAACTGGTGGCACTACCGAGAGCTGATTGGATCATACTGGTTAACCTCCTCAATGAATGAATGCCCTGAGAAGCTCCTGACCGAATGGACGGGAGGCAGTGGAAACTACAGGTGTGGCCTACCTGGAGGAAACAGGTCATTAAGGGCACGCTTGGAGGGAACATCTTGTCCGGGGCACTCTAGTCCCTCTCTGCCTCCTGTCTGCCATGAGGTAAGCCACTCTGTTCGGCCACATCTCTCTGCTATGGCATTGTCTCACCACAGACCCAGAAGCAATGGAGCCAAATAAGTAGGGACTGAAACCTCAAGACAAAATAAACCCTTTTGACTCCATAATTAAAGGTTTGAAAACCATACCAAGAAAAGATACAATACGAGGAATAATTTTTATTAAGAGCACATTGAATAAAAGGTCACAATCTTTAAAGAATATTCCAGAGTCTACTCTGAGGAACAAGTGCCAGGGAATAAACATCAAAGCAAAACACCTCAAGGTATATAGTGCTCTGATGTGCGACCTTAAGCTTTTCATTTGTGTCATTACGTCCATCTTTTCTCCAATTTAGGCAAAGGTTATAGCAGAATATGACATGTTACGAGAGCAGCTCGTAACACAGGAGTCTGTTTTCTCAATCTTGTTCACATCACCTTCTAGCACATCACAGAACACTGAAGACTCATGAGTTTGCCGGAGCGCTACCAGCTGATGGCTCCAATTTTACAAGGGAAGGAGGCACTGTCCCTGAAACCAGCGAGACTTTTCAATGTGCTTAGTGGGCCATGAAACAACAGATTATGTGTATTATAAATAACGGATTATGTGTAATTAGAATAGACAAAAGATGAAGCGGTTCCTTTTAGGCATAAGTGTATTTTAAATTCTATAGTAAATAAATACTTCTAAGAGAAGATTTTCCCATATTTCCAAATAAGACAATATTGAACAGACCTTATAATGATTTTTAATTTGATCTCATTTGAGTTTTGTCAACATGGCTGTGAAAACTGAGCTACATAGTCTTCTTTTCAAAATGTCTTCCCTTAACACACAATTGTGTCTGAAACTGGTTAAGACAACATGGCTGCTGAGGCAGGAAGGTACCTGAGATGACAGGCATGCCCTCCTGTGACCACCCCCACCAACTTTTTTTGTTTTTTAAACTTTGAGGTTTTAAAGTCAATATACAGACTTGTAAGGTCTAAAAATGACCTTTTCACAAAAATAAGGCAGCTTTATACAGTGAAAACACTCATTCTTTGACAGGTTATATTCTTTAGTTCACAGCAGTCACTGGCTATCAGGATCTTCTCTAAAGATCAGTTTTTTCTTCATAACGACACCTACATGCAGCTCGTTGGCTGTCCAGGTATGGTTTACAGCCTAAATGTATAACACTGTCAAACAGGAGCTCCACTGCTGTTTCACATGCTGCAAAGGAAGGAAGTGCAGTTACTGCTGGGCAACTGGAAAGCATGGCTCTCTTTTCACCTCTTCCCTGTTACAGCAGGGCTCACAGCCCAGGTGAGCACTCAAGCACACAGTAGGGGAAGGTCACCCTGCCCCTCTCACGACAGCAGCATATACCTGCAGACTTTCGGTTTACTTCTTTTCTAGGTATCTTATTTTTTAATCCAAATTCAACTGCTCAGACTCATCTTTTGTACTAGAAACTACTGGAATGCTCAGTTAATCAGTGACAACTTTCCTTTTATTGAGGAGTATAATCACTAACAAATGTGTCTGATTACTCTTAAATTTGTATTTCAACGTTAAGGTTTTTTGGTGTTTGGGATTGAACCTGTGTGTGCTTAAGCACATACTTTCCACTCAACTACATCCCCAGCCCTGAAAAGACATTTTTGGTGCAGAAAAAAAATAAAGCTTAAAAACAGAATCTCAAGTCATGTGATTATGGCCAATGGCTTCTAAGAACTGAGCACATGTTATTTAAGATGCTTAAAGTAAGTGAAATCCACACTCTTCCTCTGACCAATATCTGAATTTGGCTTGGGAGTGGTGTCATAGAAACCAAAAAGTTTTCTCCTGGTAAGGTTTTTAAAATTCTTTAAGACTATAAAGAAGGTGACAGATTTACTTTTCCTAACACGTTTTGCTTTTGTGACTATATGTAAAATTTAAATTATACAATAACCAGCTAGCTCCTTACCTCAGGAAACTGAGGGAGTTGTGCCATAACAGGTAACACACGTAATATTGGTAAATCATAGACTAAAATATAAAATGTTCAATAAGACTTTAAAAACGGCACACGATCCCAGCCAACCAGGTCACCCTTACCCTGAACATGCTGCGCTAGTCCTAGTGTTTTCTGCACGTCCCGGCAGATCTTGGAGAGGCAATACTGGAACTCTTCATCACAGTCATTCTTGCTTTTGCCACAGGTCTCATAGCATCTGTCGTGTTGATTGCAGCACTTTGTCAGGGAAGGGATGCCTATGTTAAGCTGCATGAAATATTTGGATGGACTATAGTCAACGAAATACAAAACTCTTCTGGTTAAGTAACACATTCACATAGATAATAGAAATAAGTGACAATGACTGCTGTCTAGACAATTCCAAAACCCATTTCTACCTGCAAATGTCTCTCATCTAACAATCCCATTACCCTCAGCCACACCCACCTATGTGACAGTTCAGACATGCCTCATGGCTCCTTCTTTTGCAATATTAATGTATTCACAGTTACCTGTCAATAACAAACACAACTTCCAATTGTCCTAAACCCAAAACAGTTATAAATACAAAAGATAAAGCTAAAGGCGTTAAAAAAAAATGTCTGCAGGGGCAAGTATGATTTTTGGATATTTCAAAGTATTTTGAAACATCTTTCCTCCAAATAAAATGTGCTTTCTGTGAAATGCCACAGAAAACTTTGAAGTGCCTATGCAAAGTCTTTTTTGTTTTTAAGCTTTAGGTACTTATGCATTACCCAAGAGAGCATTACTTTGAATCTGTATCTTTAATTATTTTAAATAACTCAAAAAACCCTTATGTGTAGGAATCATTTTCATAAACATTTTCCCTCACAATTATTGGCTCTGGCCCAGTCTGCCCAGCAACAACCACACTGTTACCCTTGCTAGGCCTTGCCTTAATGAAGAAAATTTGCCTTATCTCCTCCCAACTGTACTCTTTTAGTTCTGCACTGTAAACTCTTAAATTGTGTTTGTGACATTAGGAAATATAATTTACAAATACTGACATGAACAAAATTTTTTTAAAAACTTTAAATTTACCCAGTTTAGTTTTGCTAGGAGATATTAAATGTCTTGTCCAAAAAGAATGTAATAAACCCAATCACAATTACAACAAGCAAAATCATTTGTGAGCTTGAGAATGCACCAAGTATCGTGTTATCAAGAGTACTATACAGACTACTGTCAAAAAGCTTATCAAATAAGAAGCAATACTTACATGAACACCAAACAATGGAGAGCCACATCCATTTGGTGGGGAGGGTTTATATCCATAGCGTGGAAAAGGCTTTGATCCTATAAAACAAAAATGGTACCATATTTACTTTTCAAATATGACAAATACTACATGAAAAAGTCCACAATGTGCTAGACAAACCTTGGAAATATTTAAAAAATTTAGTTGGATGCTGACATAAATGATTATATCTTTATTCTGATGAACACTAAGAATGCTAATTTGTCTAATTGTTTTTATTTCTCCTGTGAAGATTGGGTTCATATACAAATGTGCACTTATATACATATATACACAGCAATTCATAAAATGTAATTATTATTTGTAATCCTGTGCTGTTCAAAACAAAAGCTTATCCTGGACTATTGGAGATTTTGAAGGCACATGCCAGATTGGGTCCATATGTACGAAAGATAAGTCCAGCCTGTTTTCCTGTACATTCTAACATTTCCTGTAAATTCTTAGAGACCACATATTCTGTTCCCATTCCAGCCAAGTGTTTCATAAATATTACAGGAGGGTACAAGTTTTACTCCAGTTATGCTATACTCCTTACTAGCACCAATGGTTTTAACAAGGAAGATATTACATTGTAATCTCAAAATTTAAAGGATGCTTTAGAAATATATCACTTCATATAATACGGAAATCACGTCAACATACCAGACAGACACCTACTATGTCCTTGAATGTTTTCCACAGTGCTCCTACATCAAGAAATAACCTATTTCACTGAGGAATGGGACCAATTGTTAAGCTGTTTGTTCTTGTGCCAGCTTCTACCTATGAGCAATACTCTGCCCCTTAGGGAAATACAAAATAGGCCAACTTCCTACTTTACGTGTTAACCCTTTCAAACAATTGAGACTACCATTTATCTTTATTCTAAAAATGAAATATACCCATTTATTTCAGCCTTAAGATATGGTATAGTTTCCAAATACCCCGCCACCCCCAAGTTGGATACTTAGGAAAGACACAAAGTACTCCACCAACTTTCTCTCATTCAATTAACAATGCTAGGAGACCTAAAGATAAGCGGGGAGGAAAAAAGCATCTCTTTCAGTACTCAGCCATCAAAATAACTTACTCAAAATAAGTAATGATTGAAAAAAAAATGGTTTCAGTGAGTGGCTAGGAAGTTCCATGATCAGTTGAGAAGACAAGAAGTCTCAAGAAAGTACAACTTCAGAGAGACAAACCTCTGGCCTGCTCCACGCATCCTGAAGGAACAACATGTACAAAAGGGTAAGTCGAGAAAAGGGGAGGCCACTGACAGAGCTGGATCTTGTTTCTACAGCACTATCCAAGAAGGGCTGTCCTTGAAAGGTGAGGGTAACTGCTTCAGGCTATCACATACGAGTCACCTGATCCTTCAACTCTTTTCTCTTGCCTTTCGTCCTTCACTCCTAAGGAAACTGTTCATTATTTAACTTCCCGTTTACAGAAGCCTATGAAAAGGGACATGGGCATCTCAAACTTAATATGCCTCTCCTGACATTCACTCAAACCTGCTCATCTGGTTCCTTCTCCTCGGTCAATAGCAATTCCATCCTTCCATATGCTCAGAGCAAAAATCTTAGCCATTTTTTTTTCTTTTATTCATATGTGCATACAATGTTTGGGTCATTTCTACCTCCTTCCCCCCGCAATCTTAGCCATTTTTGACTATTTTCCTATATCCTACATTAAGTTCAACAGATATCCTGTTGACTACACCTTCAAAAATTCAGAATTTACTTCTCAACACATTCATACCTATCATCCTGCTCCAAGCCAAAATGAACTGCCATAAAATCTTAACAAGTCTCCCTACTTTTGTTCTCCCATCCCACCTTACTCCTAGCCATGGTTCAATCTCAATAGTGAACTGAAATCATCTCACTAAACTGTACATTAGATCAAGTGTTTGCTCTACTCATCCTCTCTCCCAGTGGCTTCTCATCTTACTCAGAATAAAAGCCGAAGTCTGCAAAGGAGTTAACATGCTATACAGTCTGGCCTTCCCATGACTTCTCTGACTACTTCTGCTTTTTTCTCGCCCTCCCTCCCCCTTTCCTTCTCTCTCACTTTCTAGTCCATCACACCTGACCTCTTTGTTGTTTCACGGACACCCAGGTCTGCTTCTGTCTCAGGCCCTTTGAAACTGCAGTTCTTCTATGTGGATGCCCTTCCTCCTAATATCCACATAGCTGCTCTTTGTTTGCCATAATCTGAATGTTAGTGCCCCCACCAAATTAATATGTGTTGAAGCCTAATCACCGATGTGATGGTTTAGCAAGTGGGACCATTGAGGTGATTAGGTCATGCAGGTGGGATCCTCAAGAATGCAATTAGTGGCTTTATAAATGAGGCTTAGAGAGTTGCCTTGCCCCTTCTACTATGTGAGGACACAGCAAGGTTCCACTCTATGTACCAGGAAATACGCCTTCACTAGACTCTGAATCAGCCAGCACCTGATCTTCTACTTCCAAGATTCAGAACTGTGAGAAACAAATTCCTATTGTTTATAAGTCACTCAGTTATGGAATTTTGTTATAGTAGCCCAAATAGACTAGACATTCACATTTTCAGCAAGCCTTTATCCCTGACTATACTATTTGTAACATATGACTTCTAACACTATATCACTAATCTACTTAATACATTTACTGGTTGTCTCTTCATCCTGAAATGTAAGCTAAAGGGCAGGATTGTTTCTATTTTGTATGCCCAGTGCTTAGAACAGTACAATGCATATGGCTACATTCTCATTTTTTCCTAAAACTGAACTTTTTAATATCTATTGCTAGAGACTCAGCACTTCACAATTTCATTTTTGAGACCCAATACAAGATTGTAAAATTCTATCTCGTTCATTTTAGTCCACCCTCCAGGACTATTCAGCAGATTTTAGATATACAGCTATTTTCCCAGAGTTACCTATATTCATAAACTTGAAACACATATACTGATAAGAGCAGAGGTCAGCAACACCTTGCTATGGATGAGCCCTCTAGGATAAACCATGAAGTTATTAACCCGACCCTCGGGGTAGACCACTTAACCAACTGTGATTTTACCTAAATAAAGTTTTAATGTCCTATGAGAATAGCATGAGAAACTACACCTTTTAGCTATGGTTTTCCTTGTCCTACCACACTAGAAACCTCTATACAGAAGGCAATGTCTAGTCCATATTCTCTTCTCATGGTGTTGGAGATGGAATACAGAGCCTTGCACACGCCAGGCAAGTGCTTTATCATTGGGCTTCATCCACAGCCCAGTCCATTATCTGTTGCTAATATCTCAATATCCCATGGTATAACAATACCTTAAATAAGTTTATTTTGGCTCACAGGTGTGATCCAAGGTTGAGGGGCTGCTCCTGGCAATGGCCTTCTTACTGGCAGCATCCTGAGATGGTGTAGGACATCGTATGGAGAGAAGGCGTGGAGGAAGACCTAGCCAAACTGGCTTTTGTAGCCAATTTGCTCTCAACCCATTAACAACCCCCTTTAATCCATTAATTGCAGAAATGGATTGATCCATCCATGAGGGCAGATCCTTAATCATCTCTTAAAGGCACTACCTCTTAATGCTTTCAGTGGGGATTAAATTTCAACATGAGGAGACAAACCATATTCAAAGCACAGCAGGGAGAGAGGCTAAATCGGCATTATATTATTGGGAAAACACATTCTAGTTCCTTAAACTTTATTAGGAAGTTCTCTTTTGTCAGGGGCTTTAACATAACTGTTTAAAATGCTTATGTACTTTTCTTGAGATATGCATTAAGCAACAAATCAAATTATTCATCTAAGAAAGGTACAACAAAAAATGCACTAGTGTGTTCAAAAAGTCTGCAAAAAGAAAAAATGTATTTTTCAGGTTAACAGTTGGACATAGCGCTTTAAATTTAGAAGTTTATCACCTAAAAAGTTGTCTGTAGGTTGAAGAAAAAATCATATTGGGACTATTATTTGAAAATGACACTATTTGCCCTATGTTTCCAACTTTTTGGCCACTATGTACATTCCCCCTCCCATCTTCCAGTCTACAGATTTGTGGCACTTCTTCCTTTTCTGTGATCAGATTACCACCCTGAGGCAGCTGACATGGACCTAGAATTCTGAAAGTACATGGATTTCTAATATTCTCTTCTGCTCAAGAATCTACTGTTTTCTTTTTTACCAGGAAGATGTTTCTCTCAATGTTCATACAACCACAGTAACTTTATCTTTTCTTGCCTTTGTATTTTATCTCAAGTCACAGACTTTTCTTGGATTTCAAGTGTATAAAAATGCTTGAAATTTTGATGATGTGTGATAGCAATACATGTTATGTATGTAACTCTATTAATACATGTAGACATTTTCTCATTTTGTAAGATAATTACTGACCAGGAGAATTATCAAAAGCAAATGAAGTTAGGAAAAACAAGCAAACAAATGTGCCCACATTAGAGGAAAAAAGATGAATAGAGATAATACAAAGAATCAAGTGGTAAAAATGCGAATGGAGGTGTGAGGATACAAGAAATTGTTATCTCAAACAGGGCTAGTGTTTATAATTGTCTTAAGGAGGGAGGGTGAAAAACTTGAGTGATAAAGATCCAGTATCTACTGAATGGGAAACACTGGATAATAACACTGTAAAATAAATGCTGATAAAATTTGCTCCCTCTTTAAGTGGTAAAGTGGGTATGTATATCTGGATTTGGGTTACTTTAGAAGCAACCTGCTCATGTCACTTCTTTAGAGAGTCTCTCCCAGCTCACTCCATATAAAATAGCACCCCTTTCTTCCATTCCCACTTTTTAAAATTTTTTTGGAGGTACTAGGGTTAGAGCTCAGGGGCTTACACTTGTTAGGCAGGCATTCTACCACTTGAGTTATGTTTCCAGCCTTCCGTATCTATGCCTGGGTTTGCTTTAGCTTCCTTTCTAGTGTTATTGACCAAATTTGCATAACAGTTGTTATGAGGACAGCATCTCTGTCTTGCTCACCTAGAACATGTGTGAAACATAATGAGTACCCAAGAAATTACTAGAAGAAAAAAAAGGGAAATATTCTTTGCTGAAATTAAAATATTCTTTATCCACAGGCGAAAAAAGGAAGTAACCAGTTTGCATTTTAAAGTGTTTTAAAATTCTAAATTCACCTTTACCTTGAAATCATTATTTCAAAACAAATTATCTGTTAAGTTATTCAAGATTAAATTGAATCAAATATGAAAATTACAAACATGATTTAAAATGTTAAAAACGTAGCATTTCTACTAGTGCCAGGTTTTACAAAGCAAGCAAAAATATACTAGTTGGAGAAACAAAATTAGTGTCAAATCAAAACACCAAAATGTGTTGGGGCCATTGTTTACTAAACTTTGTACCCAGATACAGAAAGCAAAGAAAAAAAGGAGATGGAGGAAGAATTGAAAACAAACAAACCTGGCTAGTGGAGTGGCTCAAGGAGTAGAGAACCTGTCTAGCAAATGTGAGGCCCTGAGTTCAAATCCCAGTACTGACAAGAAAAAAAAAAAATATATATATATATATATATGCACACACACACAAATCTATGGGTACAAATGCATAGAAAGGCTACTTATTAAATTACTTTTTGACATAAACAATAGCTCCTTTTCTTGATGGTTTATGTTTTATCATCTGGATGGATGGCCAAAATCTAAGTACTTGCATGGACTATTAGTTCTTTTCCAAATTTGATGTAAATACTCTCAAACAGATCAACTTTTTTTCACCTGGAAGAATTTGAGGCAGATGAGAAGCACAAGGGAAGGCAGCTGGGGCAAAGATCTTACCATTGTGTTTTGCAAGTAGAACAGTGTAGAATCCCAACCTGTGTTCTCCAACACTGGAGACTACACAGTCACAACCACTGACCTTCATCAATCTTGGCTCTTATGCGCTCCTTTGCTTTTCTAGTCCATTCACTTTTCTATCTTCCTCAAATCTCCATCATCTTCATTTCCTCACTTCTCTAAGCTCATAACCTTCATTCCTACTTCATAGAGAAAACTGAGGCGATCAGAACTCCTGCCCACGTGACATTTGTGCCTACAGCTTCCACCTTCCTTCCTATTAACAGTCATGTGCCATCTGCTCTCGGCTAATCTATTTATGAAGTCATGCCTCTCACTTATGCAAGGATATGACTGCAGTAATTCTTCCCTCTCCTTCAACAGTATTTCTACTCTCAACCATTCTCAAAAGCACACAAATATGCTATTAATCTTTCCTAATACCCCCAAACTATTCTTTCCATGTCTTCTCCCATTTCAGTTAATGGCAACTCCGTCCATCTAGTTAATCAGGCCAAAAACTTTGGTATCCTTTTTGTGCCCTACTCACAATTTACTTCCAAATCATTGGCAAATAAATTCTTTAGTTTCTTCCTTCAAAATACCCTCCAAATCCAAACACTTCTCATTAATTCTATTGCTACCAACAAACCCACAATCAAAAAAACCCTCTAACGCCTTTTCCCTAAACTTCTGCACCATCTCCATTCTACTCCCCAACCCCTTTTGAATCTTAATTATCAATACAGCATCCAGAAGGATACTGTTAAAATACATACCAATGATCAGCATGGTGGGTCAAGCCTATAATCCTAGCTACTCCAAGGACAAGAATTTGGAGGATCAAAGTTAAAGGCAGCCTGGAAAAAAAGTTTGCCAGACCCCATCTCAACCAATAGCTGGGTGAAGAAGGGTGCGCCTGTCATCCCAGCTACATGGGGAAGCACAAATAGGAGGATCACGGTCCAGGCCAATCTGGGCATAAAGCAAGACCCTATCTCAAAAACAACCAACATAAAAAGGGCTGGGGGCATGACTCAAGTGGTAGAGGCCTGTCTACCAAGCACTGGACCATAAGTTCAAACCCCACTACTGCCAAAAAAACAAAAAACCATAGATGTCAGTGAATGAATAACAATTTATTCACAATTCTAAAAACATTTTATAAACCAATTTTTTTTATTTTTCAAAAGAAACTGAAAAGTTTTCTTCCTTAAATCTTCTGATTATCAGGGAGAAAAGTTAAGGCTAAATGCAAAACATCAATTTGTTCTCTTAAATAATTTCACATAACTCTAAGAACTTTTTCCCACCCAACAGAGGATGGCCAAAATTAAGGGACAAATCTCCACAATGCCAGTTCCTTAGGTAAAACAAGAACTGCTGAATACAACAACCTGTGACTTTTAATCTGACCATCTTCTACCTACCTATTAACTTTTTTTTTTTTAAGTTCCCTTCATCTCCTCACAATAACTAAAAAAACATCCCTTAATCACTGTGCTCCTCTAGCTTTGGGATTTGTCTGTTTCTGTTTGGTTCTGATTTGGTCACTTGCATGTCAAAGCATAGGAAAGGCTGAATCATTGTTCCAGGAAGACTTCTCAAGTAACATTAAAAACAAGAATAAATTTCATTGAGTTGGAATTGTCTGCCTGGGGACTTTGAACTAATATCCATTGAAAGATAGTACTAACATTCAAAAGGATTTTCACTGAATCATACTATTTCTGAAATTCTCAAATTCATTTGTGTTTTTTATATTGGAGACCTTGCTCTAAACTCCAAATGGCAAATTTTGTGAGGTCTGTGGAAGATGAAAAACAATTAATAGGAAATATGAAAACAATCCTTTAAGTAGGAATAGTATCCACTCAACTTCAGAGCCATTTTAAATGTAAATAAACTCTACATACCTAGACTCATAGCTAAGACTACTCCATGCAAGTCTCCCCTATCTCTGTAAATAGCAACTACATCCTTCTCTTTGGCTCAGGCCAAAACTGTCAGTTATCCTTGACTGGTATGACTGAGGTCCTTTGCTCTAGCTGGTCCCTCTGCCTGGAATGTTGCATCCCCAGATTATGGCAATGTCACCTTTACCACTTTCAGATTCTGCGCAAAGATTCTCTGGTCAGTTAGGTGTTCCTTGAACATACTATTGAAAAGAGTGATCACTGATATCTTTCTTTTCTGAGTTATTATTCTCAAAGCACTCGCATTTTGCAGACCTACTCAGCCCACTTTACTTCATTATTAGTTTACTGACTGACTCTTCTCACCAGATCATCAGCTCCATGGACAGGGAATTTTGTATGTTACTACTGAATTTTCAGTAAGTAGAGCAACAGCTGCCACATGGTTGGTTCTCTAATGAATGGGAATGACAAAGTAAAACCATAACTTTTGCCTCCGCAAAGGCTAACATGCAGACAATTCCAACTCAATGAAATTTATTCTTGTTTTGATTAATACCTTAAGTTAATATTTATTGTTCCTAATAAGCACCACAAGAACAAAAACACCCTTCCTGATACATACTGGTGGAAACATTTAGGCATAAATTTTAGAAGCAATGACACCTGTTCAGCACTTTCAGACAAACAAATACAGCTAGCTCTTTATCTTTACTAACATGTAAGTAGCTAGTTACTTGGAGAATTACAAGCAGCATGTGGCAGTTTTGCATGGTACAGGTTCCTTTTCAGTTCACACATACAATTAGCTTTATCCATTAAAGTCATGGAGTTCCCTATTGTTTTCAGCTGCCTGCATTAACTAGACCAGGTCTTGGCTAATCTTACTGGAAACATGATCTTAACATTTTGAATTTCCATACAGAAGCCCAAGTACTTTTGAGATATTAAAATAAGCATTCACAGAAATCGAAGTTAAAAAAAGAATCCTTGCCTGAAATACTGACTTTATTATTACTCATTGTCACAAAACAAGGTCTCAGATTCAAATAGAAAGTTTAAAATTAGGAAAGGAATAAATGAAAAAGTTTACCAATATTGCCCCAAAATGAGAAGGGGTCGCTAATAAACAAGGAAAGAATACTGTCAAGTATTGATAGACTATGTCAGTACTTGAAACAGTACTGAACTTTCATCAATCCTGCACACCTTTCTCAACAATCCAGTCCACCAGATGTCTGTACAAAGGTCGCTATTTATTTTCTACAGTTTTGCAAGAAAAAAGAGGAATTAATGCTAGTCCTCTAGAAAGTTAATACGGCATGACTTTTAAATGCTCAGTTAGCTTTATAGGTTCAACTGACTCTTTCACCAGCGCAAAAGTACGGAGGTAAAATCAGTCTGTTCACTCCATTCCCAGGACTCAGACTTCACGAATTCTTAGGCAACTCAGTGCCATTGCAAAAAGGGGGAAAAAAGGCTCACAGCAATGGAATAACATAGTTCACAGCGCGTACTCACACGAACCGGAGGATTTTGCAGGGGTTCATTTTTCCCCACACTCAAAGGGCACCGTCAAGGTCTGCCCCGCACCTGTCACTCACACCTCCACGACCTAGCTCGTCCCAAGTCCCGGGCGGCCCTCACCGTCACTGCACTTGTACTGACAGAGCCCGTCCTCGCCGCCCAGCAGGTCCAAGGCGGCGTTCAGGTACGTGTCTATCCTGTGGATGCCATTGCGGATGGTCTTCAGGGTGGCCCTCCAGTCGGTGATCTGCGCCTGCTCCTGCTCCTGGCACCCGACGGCGGCGGCCAGGAGGAGCAGGAGGACGAGTGCGGGCCGCCCGGACAGGGCCATCCACACAGCCCGGCCGGGTCCCCGGGGCGCCCTAGGCGGCGGCGCGGGCCCCGGGCGCGACCGCGGCCGGCTCCAAGCCCAGCCTCCTCCTTCCCGGCCCTCGCCTCACTCACCGCGTTACCGCGAGGAGGCGGTGCCCGTCGCGAGGACGCGCGGCACCACGCGCTCGCTCCCCTGGGCTGTCGGCCGCGTGCGCGCCTGCGCCGGAGCGTGGCGCGTCAGCACGCCAGCGCTGGGAGCGCGCGGCCGCTTCGCCCACGTGGTTTCCCGGGCGCGCTCCCGAAGCTCTCGGCACTGCGCGCTGACTCAGATGACAGCCACGGGGGCGGGTCTGTGAAACTACTTAAGCCCCGCGTGTGCCCTGTCTGATTACTTGGGGCAGGGATGGTAGTGGTGGTACCGGGCAGCCACAGTGGAGAATGACACCCCCTCTCCCGTAGCCTAACCTGGCCTGTCGGGGTTCAGCTCCTGCCACCCCAGCTTCTCTGGGCGTGGCCAACTGCGGAGAAACAAGTGCTAGTGTTCCAGGGCAGCAGTTCAATTTCCACCTGAAAACGCAGTCACGTTTGTCAAAACTGATCTCATCTTGCAAAGATGGCTTTGCCACCTCCGGTCCTTGTCCGCCGGTGAAGACACCCCTGTGGCCACGTTTGGGAGAATGTGGACTCTGAGAGTCCGCCAACCCAAGGCCATGGCGGTGCCCGAATTTAACCAGGATGGCTAGATGCTGGTTTAGACTTTCTGTAGGAACAAAATGATTTGACAGTGAAAACGCCAAGTTTCCTTCCCTGGTGAGGAAAATCAGTCTAACTTTAAATGTAGTTTAAAAAAAAAAAAAGCTGGGTCTTGTGGGGCACGCCTGTAATTCTGGTACTCCAGAGGTGGAGGAAGAAGGGGGATCTCGAGTTGTAGGAGAGATCCTGCCTCCATCCTCTCCACCACCACCACCACTACCAAATCACCATAAAACGCAAGGTATTTTGTAACTTGATAGTTCTGATGTTTCTCTGTATGCTCCCTAGGCTCTATACAGAATCCATAAAAAAATGATAGCAGTACTTCTTCTGAGCCAGCACCATAAATATCTGCTTATCTTATTTTCCTAGCAGTTTCAAAGTGTTTTCTAGTAGGATCCAGGGCGCCATGGCAAGTATTGGGAATAGGTGTGTTCTTTCTATGAGAATTACCAGTAGGTTCTAGTTAGACTGTTTTTCATTTGTTACAAGCTTTTTGAGCTTGTAATGATAGTGCAATGAAGAGTTCATAAAAATTACACTCCTCTGGCTGGCAGAGTGGCTCCAGCAGTAAGAGTGGCTGCCTACAAGCGTGAGACCCTGAGTTCAAACCCCAGTGCTGCCAAAACAAACAAAAAGAATTTTTAAAAAATTACATCCCCCTTTGTTGACTGCTTACTTTGGGCCAGACACTTCACACACATGATTGTGTAAGAGTTACTTAGACTGCTTTTGCTGAAAAGCACTGACTCCTTACTTGGGCCCAGGAAGTAACTAAGAGAAAAACTTGGCATCCTGCCTCCATTTTGTATTTGTCTTTGCTCTAAGCCATGCTCTCTGCAGTCATTTCACAATCACCTTGGATTCCAGGAAGGACAAGACTGATCTGTCACATTTTCATGGCAAGGGACTGAAATTACCCTTAACAAATAGCAGAGCCCAACAGGACAGACCATCCCCACCAAATGAGAACATGCCTATGTTGCAGGAATCTCAAACTGAGATACAGGACACTTGAGGCAGTTTAGCAGGAAGCAACATTTTATTGTACAGGCACAGACTCATGTCCAAAGGCTGAGCCCCAAGAACAAAGGGGTCTCACCTTATATACCCTTGCAAGCAGGTTACAGAAGCAAAAAGCAAAGCTTAACCCATATATGGTTGTATGTGACTTTATTGGCTATTTCATTCCCCCAGTGCTATGTGACCTTTTTGATGTTTTAATTCTTTAAGTTTAATTTCTCTGCCATGCCATCCCTTCCCCCTGCCTCATTATCAGAACACAAACTTGTCTGTTTCTTTTCTGGCCCTCTTCCCTGCTACAGTAATTTGAATCCAGGCTTATGGGACTCCAATGTCACTCAACTAGCTAAATCTTTAATATAGTCAATACATCACACCTGCATGAAGAGACGATTTTATCAAATTTTCTGACAAATAAAACTTGTAGGCTGAAGTTTTAGCTCAATGGTGCCAAGCATACATGAGGCCCTGGGCTCAATTCTCAGCACCCAAAACAGCAACAACTTGTATGTTCGACCAAAATATTTACTTGAGAATTATACAGTAAAATTCCAATATAGCATAAACTTTGAAGAGACTTTAAAAAATATTCACTAAGATTTACTTAATTTTCCCCTGGAGATGTATTAATTGTATGGTTTTATTTTTATTAAAATGGAATTCCCAAGAGAATAAGTGCAGCTTGAGAGAGAGAGAGAGAGAGAGAGAGAGAGAGAGAGAGAGAGAGGATTTCAGACATTGTGTTGAGAAATAAGAGATCTTCCTACGTGATAACTAATCCAGTCAAAATAATTGGCCACTTTAGTGTAAACACCTGGGAAACCTGGTCTTCCACAGTTCTCACCCCAGCTCACAATGCCCCACACATAGGTCACATTGTTGGCGTCCATACACACCAGCGGGCCTCCTGAGTCCCCTTTGCAGGCATCAATGGAACCATCTTCCGTACCTGAGAAAAAGAAAATCACATAGTTCCATCCATTTATCAGGGCTGCCACACCACCTTCCCTGCCTCCTCCACCAGGGAACTCCTGTAATAACGCCCGCTTTCTTACACTTTCCTGAGAGGAAATGAGAGGGACTCTCCCTCCCTACAGGGCCTGCAGAGTTGGAGAGATGCAGATGGGAAAATACTTTGGAAGTGTTCTGATCCTCCTCCTAAATTAGCATGTTCTTTCTGCCTGTGTTTTCTGCTTTTGCAACTGTATACTGAGATGAGAGTAACATCGAACACTGACTGGGAAAATAATAGGAATATCTTGTACTTACTGATTGCTCATAGGTATTAGTCATTCGCTATTTCACTCCTCGCCCTAATCCTATGAGGTAAGTATCATTAGTTTCTTCATTTTACAAATGACTGCAAAATTCATTTACCATCTTATATTCTCTCTGTATTTAATGGTGTGGGGTTTGAACTCAGGGCCTTACACTTGCTAGGCAGGTGCTTTACCACTTGAGCCATTCTTCAGCTCTCTTAATTTACAAATTACACAGTACACAAAGAGATTAGCTATCTTGTCCGAGTTTGCACAGCTAACAAGTGACTGGCAAGACAAGAGCTTGTCTTCTTCACCATGACATTGCTTTCTGGCAGATTTTGAGCTTTTTCACCGCATTGGTCTATTCATTGCAATCCCGAGTTCCATTTCAAAACTGGAGGGCACTTGCTCCTCACTCTTACGATTTTCAAACATTTAAAACTCACTGGATATGGTTTGAGTTTGTCCCAGAAGAGTTCGTGTGCTGGAGGCATGATCTTCTTTGTGCTATACTAAGAGGTGAGGCCTAGCAGGAGGTCCTTAAGTAGGTGAGGGATGTGCCCTCAGAGAGATTATGGTGGTTCTTGTGGGATCCCTGAGTCAGTTCTCAAGAGGCTTATTATAGAAGGAAGAAGTCCAGCTCTCTTTAGTTTCCTGTCTTTTTTGGGGGGAAAGGATAGTACTGACAATTGAACTCAGAGCTTTGTAGTTGCTAAACAAGTGCTCTATACTTGAGCCATGCCCCATCCTTTTTTGTTTTATTTTCCAGAAAGGGTCTTGTGGGCCTGGATCCTCCTTCCTATGCCTCTCCTGTAGCTATGATTACAGGTGGGAGTGCCACACCCAGCTGCTTCCTATCTTTCGATGTGACCTCTCATTCTCAACCATGCTCCACCATGGTGGTGCCATCACCATGAAGTGCTCCCAGAGCTGAACTGGTGCCAACATTCAACCTCAAGTCTCTAAAATTATGAGCTAAATAACCTCTTTTCTTTATAAATACCCAGCCTCAGGTATTTCATTAAAGTAACAAAGACAGCCTAGATAAACCACTTGGCACTTACCTGCACATTCCATTTCTTTTTCATAGAAGCGATTTGGGTAAAACTTAGAGCAGTTGCTCATCAGCTTAACTTCACCCCATCTAAGTGAATAGACTCTTTGGTTATCTAAAGAAAGTGAAGAATGGACATTAAGAAATCACAAATGAGAAATCTAAATACATGTTCTCATAACTGAGTAAACCATTAGGAAGATAAGAGAATATGTATCTATAAATTCTTTAATATATATAAACTTTTGAGGATAATCCCTCAACATCTATAATCATACTCCGCTCATCTCCCTAGTTTCTCTGTCTTTCTAAACTCACATGGATAATCAAGGGAGGTTGTTGACAAGTGGGCTGAAGTCATGGTCATGGAGAATTGGCACCCTGTCATGACTGAGGTAAAATCCTGCCCCTTCAGTGGCTGAGCTCAGCAGAACTGGATATGAATTAGTGGTGGGCTCTTCATACTTAAATACCTTTGATCCTCTTACAGTTCCTAATTTCTACAAATGAAGAAAGTACATATGAAGTTATCAATGTGTGTTTTTGTGTCTCTGTGAGGAAATTAATAAAGGGAGCTGGAATTTCATTTTTAGTTAAGTGATAATTTGAACTTGAACATATTTGGTCCAAGGAAAGAGAAGGGTCATATAGTAAGAACTCAAAAAAAAAAAAGTGTGTTTAGCTGGGCACCAATAGCTAATAGAGTAAACTTAAAATGACAGAGGTCAATATGGGAAGGTGACTGGGAAGTAATGATGAGGTCAGGTAGAGATGAACCAATTCAGGTTGTAATACACTTGTGCATGGAAGCAATGTTAGGAATCTCTCTGTATAGCTGTCCTTATCTCAACTAGCAAAACCGCTTTGTCTTTCTTATTATCGCTTATGTCTACTCTTCTGCAAAGTTGTAGAAAAGGGCAGAACAGGTTCTGCCTGGAAGTGGGGGGGAAAGTGAGGGTGGGGAGAAATGGCCCAAACAATGTGTGCACTTATGAATAAATGAATAAAAAAATGATTGGAAGAGATTTAAGAAAAATAGTCACTAAATGCAATGTGTGAACTTTTGAGCTTTTTTTTTGGTGGCACTGGGGTTT